GTTAAGAGACGACCCTTGGGAATCAGAGGTCTTTATCAGTTGTAGACTGCCGCTATAAGTGGAGCAAACAAAGCTAATGTGTTTTTATAACATAAAAACACAGTGACCTTCATATCAGCTCTGAACGTGCTCATGATCATGATATAATTGCACCCGATAAGCACTTGGATTGTAAACCCAAAAATATACGGGATAGCTCCCTTCACTCTTCTCACTGATGAACTATACCAAAAAAATAATAATTAGAATAATATTTAAATTATGGAAGGAGTTGTAATCATGTGGCAGAGAAAAGAATTCCAAGTTGATGAATTCTTAAACATAAAGATTTGTATGATTTATATATTGGGTTTCTGATTTTAGTTTATTTAAATATTATTAATGTACAATGGGTTGGCCCAACCCAAACATAAAATGAGTACGAATTTACTAACAAAATGAGACAAATCAATGGGTTAGAGATTGGTGTAAATAGTTAATATGAAATGCATATCAGGTTTCTAAGTTTTGTTTCTTTAAATACATATTTCTAGATTCTAGATGTACAACAGGTTGGCCCGACACGAACATAAAACGAGCACAATCAACAAAAACAAACAAAAAGTAAGCACACTTACCATCACCAAGTTGTACATACCGAAAGAATCACTAAAATCCCAACTAAAAGTAGACCTCTCACCCAATTATTATATAGCTTGTAAGGGTGGCTATTGCTAGTGAAGGCGTGCGCAATATAGATGGTGAGGCCATCAATCAGCCTACAGCTATGGTTCCATTGATCACCATCAACACCCCCATCAATTTTGCTTGATTATGTCTCTCATGAATGTGGACCGTCTCCGACCTGTAACTCGAAAAATGTTAATCAAATTTAAATAATTTATTAACAAAAATTAAATGAGTTGTAAATGACAATTATCTGATAGTTTAGAACATACCCGCGATACCACGAGACGATGAACGTCAAGGCCGAGTGAACTACGATAATACAGCTAGAGAAACTAGCCGGCGTGAACCGTAGTCCAACAAACACAGCAAGTTGCCCCAAAAATAGCATGTTAAATGAAATATAATTAATCCTTAAAATATAAATGATTTGTTTTTCAATTTTAATTTAAGATAGGGTACTTACTCGAATATGGCCAAGTAAATGATCCAAACTAAGAGACGACCCTTGGGAGCCGAAGGTCTCTGTCTACTGTAGAGTGCCGCTATAAGTAGAGCAAACAAAGCTACTGTGTTTTTATACCACAAAAACACATTGAACTTCATATCAGCTCTGAACGCGCTCTTGATCATGATAGAGTTGCGCTAGATAACCACTTGGATTGTAAACCCAAGAATATATGAGATAGATCCCTTCACTCTTCCCGCCAATGAACTATACAAAAAAAAAATAGAATAAAATTTAAATTCCGGAAGGAGTTGTAATAATGTGGTAGAGAAACGAATTCCGAGTTGATGAATTCTTGAACATAAAGATTGATTTGTATATTGGGTTTCTGATTTTAGTTTATTTAAATATTATTAATGTTCAATGGGTTGGCCCAACCCAAACATAAAATGAGTACAAATGTACTAACAAAATGAGACAAATCAATGGGTTAGAGATTGGTGTAAATAGTTAATATGAAATGCATATCAGGTTTTTAATTTTTGTTTCTTTAAATATATACTTCTAGATTATAGATGTACAACAGGTTGGCTTGATACGAACATAAAACAAGCACAATCAATAAAAACAAACAAAAAGTAAGCACGTTTACCATCAACAAGTTGTACATACCGAAAAGATCACTGAAATCACAACTAACAGTAGACATCTCACCCAATTATTAGATAGCTTGTAAGGGTGGTTATTAATAGTGAAGGCGTGCGCAATAGAGATGGTGGGGCCATCAATCAGGCTACAACTATGGCTCCACTGATCACCATCAACACCCCCATCAATTTTGCTTGACTACGTCTGTTATGAATGTGAACCGTCTCCGACCTGTAACTCGAAAAATGATAATCAAATTTAAATATTTTATTAACAAAAATTAAATGAGTTGTAAATGACAATATCCAATAGTTTAGAACATACCCGCGATACCATGAGACTATGAATGTCAAGGCCGGGCGAACTACGATAATACAGCTAGAGAAACTGCCTGGCGTGACTTGTAGTCCAGCAAACACAGCAAGTTGCCCAAAAAATGGCATGTTAAATGAAAAATAATTAATCCTTAAAATATAAATGATTTGTTTTTCAATTTTAATTTAAGATAGGGTACTTACTTGAATATGAGTATACGATCAAGCAAATGATCCAAGCTAAGAGACAACCCTTGGGAACCGGAGGTCTTTGTCTGCTGTAGAGTACCGCTATAAGTAGAGCAAACAAAGCTACTGTGTTTTTATAACATAAAAACACAGTGAACTTCATATCAGCTATGAATGCACTCTCAATCATGATAAAGTTGCGCCCGATAAGCACTAGGATTGTAAACCCAAGAATATACGGGATAGCTCCCTTCGCTATTCCCACCGATGAACTGTACAAAAAAAAAATAGAATAATATTTAAATTCTGGAAGGAGTTGTAATCATGTGGCAAAGAAACGAATTCCAAGTTGATGAGTTCTTTAACATAAAGACTTGTATGATTTGTATATTGGGTTTCTGATTTTAGTTTATTTAAATATTATTAATGTACAATGGGTTGACCCAACCCAAACATAAAATGAGGTTGGTTATGAGGCCTCTGTGCCCATATAGCACATTACCTTGAATTGGTAGAAAATATTATGCCTGATAAAGTTGTCCTTAATTGCGTAATAAATAATAATTATTGTTGTTATTCTATCCAGTCATTTGAAATTGGATAACGTACCAGGACGATAAAGAAATTAATCTTTGCAATTAATTAGGATTTATCAGTCAATTAGAGAAAAATAGATGATGTATACATTTGATTTTCTAGACAAATTCATTTCTGTTTAATTTATTCTTTTTGGTAATTAGCGTTTCCTTGATAAAATATATAAAGGGTGAATAAAAAAAATATAAAGGGTGAATCATTAGGACATACACACGTCCAAAAGCAATGACCAAAGCTTCCGTAGCATTGATTATGATCTTATCATTGCTCTTGTTGTTAACAGAATGCGGTTTGGCTTTTGATACTTTGGTTATGAACGTCCCAAAACGAGTCGTGAACATAACCAAATATTGTCCTAACTCTTCATTGCCAATCCAACGACGACGATCTTGGCAAACACAACCTCTCGTTTGAGAACTCTTTCCATTGGGAATTCAAGTCCAATGCTCTCTTCCCAAACACATTGTTCTATTGCTACATGTGGTGGCAAAATGTCTATGGAAGCTTTGATGTGTACAAAGCTCAACGAGATGATGAGCGATTCGGAGACAAGTGTTGGTGGAGAATCAAACAAACCAGAGCGTTTTCTTTCGACAAATCTAAGGATCGATGGGATCTTATGTACATTTGGCAGAAGTGATTGGGACAAAAAGAGTTGTATGAATAAGTGTTTGCATGAATAAATAATTGAAAAGAAGGCTTCCTCTTATTTCTTTTTCTATAGTTGAAACTTTTATTACCGGAATCTCTTTCTTTTTTTTAAATTTTTTTTAAAATTTTTTTCTGTTACATAAGATCTCAAATTTATGCTTGTCCATTTGATTATAATTCGCATTCAGTATTCACATCTCTCAAAGATGCAAATGAGATATTATATGTGTTAGATTAATGCGTGTTTCAATTGTAATTCAATTTTCAATATGATTTTTACATTTCTCATTTTGCTTCTCTCCAAGGGAGATAATTTTATAACCAATGTTTCAAAATTAGCTAGAACTTAGAAGTAATCATTTTAAATCATTACTTTTGTCATAAAAAAAAGAAAAAATAGTGGGCCCGGTTTTTATCTTGCATTAAAAATGCTCTCACGCTGGAGCACCTCAAAATAATTCAATTAGCAGGAGCAAATTCAAATAAATGGCAACCGAATTCAAAATTAATTAAGGCAATTGCAGCCATTCAATAGTTGGCAAATATAATGGTATTAATTATAGGTGATAAGCGGAACCTACTTTACTCTCTATTCCTCTCTTTTCACCACTTATATAAAGGAAAACTAATAAAAAGAGTTTGAAAATTTTGAGTTTAGTCAAAATGACAAAAAGGTATTGCGAGTGAATAGTACCAGAAGTGATTTTTTAGAGTAAAAATGTTATTTTTCGTTAAAGTAAACAGTACTGGATCATCTCTGGATTCTTTTGGTGAGGATCATAGGGATTTGTAACTTGCGTATGTTCATCGTATATCGTACGATTAGTTTTTGTCAGGTATTTTTTTGTAATTAATTTTAAATAATTTATAACCGCATGATATACGATGGACGAATATGATTCACGAATTTTTAAAATCCTCACAAAGAGAATCCGACAAGAATTCAGATTCCATTCGACCAAAAACAAAGTAATATTTGCCTTTGTCTAATTACAATCTATATTTAAAGATCATAAAGTAATATATTTATAAATAATTAAATATAAAAGCACTTTTTTCCAGCCAAACATCTACCAAACAACAAATTGCGTCTTTTCATAAACTTTTGTAACTGTACTTTGATGCATTCAATACTTTTAAAGCTTGTTATTGTATTTAGATTTTTGTTTTATAAGCTAATCGATGTATTTATTTAATTAAGTAAAATTTATATTATAATTTTTTAAATAAATTGTACAGTAAAAATATACTATATTGTTTTGATGTATAATGTATTATATTATAATTAGCAAATTATTAATTAAGCATGTTATTTAATGAAGGTTATTAATTTATTAAACATTAAATTATTAAGGTTTTACTATGTAAATGCAAAACTAACGATATGTTTGTAAAAAAAACAAAATATAGATGAATACCACATTAAAAATTGTGCAAATTACAAACGTTCAAATTTGAAAGTGGCACTCAAAAGCGTGAAATGAAAAGCTCCATGTATGGAAAGACCGCAAACATTAAAAACGAAAAATAAAATTTAAAAAGTTGTCGTATTTTACTTTTGAAATGGCGGAGGAGAGGAAAGGCGGCAAAAAACCAGAGAGTCTAAACGACAGCCACTATCGCCTCCTTCAAGACCTCCTCTCTCCTCCTCCTGCTGCTGCTGCCAATCCTTCTTCCACACCCGCCGGTATTATTAACCCTATTAACCACTTTACTCTCTTCCCTCCTTAATTTTTCATTATTGTATTTATTTTTCGTTAATTTTATTTTGTATTTTTTTGTTGGGTTATCAGCAGAGGGCGATAAAGTGGAAATGGAGGAGGTGAAGCCACCGATCGAAGGCCAAAGGGTTCACAACCTTCCTCATTTCTCACTCGCTGATTTTGATTCATCTCCTGGTAATCGCTCTTCTCTTGCCCACTATCTGTTTGATTAAATGCTCGTGTGACTGCAAAACCCCAAATTGTTTGATTTTTTTTTTCCTTACATTTTGTTTTTTTGTTTTTTTTGTTTATGGTATCAATTCTAGAAGAAGAAAAACCTTCAAAGGTTAAGATTGAAGGTAGACGCCGTCTTTGTAAAGTTTCTTATCGGGCTGACAGTGATCATGCTGACAAACAACCAGTGCTTGATGAGCCCAACGTTTCGGGCATTGCTGATTATGAATCACCGGAAGTTCTGAAAAAAAATCCGAGTAAGACTAGTGCCAATGGTGGCGGGAATGAGATTAGGGATATTCTTGATGACTTGAGCTCGAGGCTTGAGTTACTGTCAATTGAGAGGAGGGGTGCCAGAAAAGCGGACATGGTTGAAGGTTCTAATGTGTCTAAAACCAAAGGCAAGGAGACAGATGCTTATTTGCCGAGGGAACCTCAACGAGCCAGCCTGGCTATGAAACATGATGGTCAAAAGAAAAGAGAAACTTATGGGTGGATGAAAAACCAAAAACTGTGGCCTGTCCTCTTGTTCCTAAAGTCGGAAAAAGAGAGGTTGGTGTTGAGGATGGCTGTGTATTTTTGAGTGACAATAAGATAGTTAAAGAATCAGGGAGGCAGAGTGGTATTGTTAAAGAGTTCTATGAATCTGATGAGCTTATTGTTATCGATGATTCTACTGATGATTGTGCTCTGGTGACTGATGGTTCTATTACTTTGAATGGTCTCACATCTACTTACAAGTTGCCTGGGAAGATTGCGACAATGTTGTTTCCACATCAACGTGATGGCCTAAAGTGGCTATGGTCTTTGCATTGTCAGGGGAAGGGTGGAATCTTGGGTGATGACATGGGCTTGGGCAAAACGATGCAGGTAATGAAAGAGGATACTTTAACAGATATATTACTTTGGTGTCTTTTTTCTTCTTTTGTGTAATTCATAGGTACTGGTTTAATCTTATTACAGATTTGTAGCTTCGTAGCAGGATTATTTCATTCACGGTTGATTAAAAGAGTTATGGTTGTGGCCCCTAAAACACTGCTTTCCCATTGGATTAAAGAATTATCATCTGTGGGTCTTGCTGATAAGATAAGAGAGTGAGGCTACTTGGTCTTGTTTTATATGATTAATTTCTCAAGTATCATGTATGTAAGAAAGCCAATCTGTAATCAGTTGCTTGTGCGTCTATGTAGATACTATGGGACTTGCGCTAAAGCTCGAAAATATGAGCTTCAGTATGTACTTCAGGTAATTCCTCTATAATATAAATACATCAGGTGATTGATGTGTCTTTTTTGTTGAATCAAAATCAGTCAACATTGTTTCTTTAATCATAAAGAACGATTCTATGAAGAGTAGAGAAAAGCAACAAAGAGGTTGGTCAAGAAGACCAACCCAAAACACAGAAAAAACTCAGAAACCGTAAACAAATTCCATGAACATCTGAGATGCAATATATTTATTAGCAAACAACATGTTTAACCATGCAGATGCCATTTTTTCTTTTGAATTCAACATGTATATAGGAATGGAGAGAAGCTGATGCAACCATTAAAATCTTTAATTACCACAGAATGAAGCATCATGATGCATCCAGATTATTTAACTAATGTAGTTTGAGTAAACTTGTAGTATGACTTTGGCTGCACTTTTTTTCTTTTAAAATAAGAACTATGCTTAAATTCCATATGATTCTGTCCTCACTGTTCATTGCTTTTCTCATAGGACAAAGGCATTCTTCTCACAACTTATGATATTGTGCGGGTTAACTCAAAATCTTTAAGAGGGGATGACTATGTTCTTGATGATGGAAGAGAAGATATCATATGGGATTATATGATACTTGATGAGGTGAGAATGCATATGCTACTTTCTTTGAGTAATTGACTGTTATGTTTTTTCTAAGGGAACATTATAGCTTCTATTAATTATCGTCATGCAAAAGAAAGCTTATTAGTCATTTCGAGTACTCAACCGGCCTCTCACATACCATAGTGCAGGGTCCCGTCTAAGAGAAGCCTTGTTTCCTTGTATACGTCACATATTGATCAGGGATATACTTTGATAAAACATGCATGTTTAATTGGTGAATTATTGATTGTTTAGTATTTCCGTAACTATTTTAGAAGTGTCATCTTTTCAAGAAATTTTATTGCTTTTACAGATACTTTCAAGCAATTCCTCTTTCAGATATATAGATGCCTTTGAAATTATTAACAAAATGATCTTGTGTTACTTAGTTTGTACATTTGAAAATTTTCACGCCCTGATGTTTCATCCAATCAATTTCCTTGCTTGCCTCAGTTGAATGTGCACACTGGTACTCACACGCATCCAACACATCAAATTATACTTGTAATGTACTTAGTTGCCTGTGAGAAACCAGATTTCTTTATCTGAAAAGTGCATGAAACAACCTAATTTATTTGTGTAAGAACTTTATTTCCTTGCATAATGATAAGATGGACCTATTTATATCTCAGGGGCATCTCATAAAGAACCCTAGTACACAAAGAGCCAAAAGTTTGCTTGAGATACCTTGTGGCCATCGCATTATTGTAAGCGGCACGCCATTGCAAAATAATCTGAAGGTCAGGTTCGGTTGTGCCATATTATTCCTTTTTACATTTTTTATGTCTTAAACAAAAACCTAGACATAATTTGTTGATTATTTGTACTTTTTATGTCTAAAATAGGAGTTGTGGGCCTTATTCAACTTCTGTTGCCCTGAGCTACTGGGAGATAAGAAATGGTAATAATTTCCTCCCCGTGCTGGTTGCCTTGAGTTATTTATCTGTTTCTGTATAAAACTCTCGATTTTTTTTTTTTCAGTTTTAAGGAACAGTTTGAGTCTCTCATTCTTCGTGGAAATGAGAAAAATGCTTCGGATAGGGAAAAGCGTATTGGTTCAACGGTTGCAAAGGTAATGATACCATAAATGTTTTAATATGCTTTGTGTGACCTGATATCATGAAATTTCTTTTTGGTGTCTATATTACAATGTTATGGACCATATTGTTTCAGTTGTTTATTTATGTTGTATATCCTGTATCTCCTGTATCTAGTTATTCAATGTAGCTGTGGTGACGCTAGACCAATAGGAATCAGTGTATGATACGGTTTTATTTTGGCCTCAGTCTCACTCTTAAAAGTTTCTAATTGTTTGATGACAGTAACCTATGTCGAACATTTCAGGTGTCCTTTTCTGTTAGTTTAGCAGACAAATTATAGAATCAAACACTTTTGGAAATATTAGAATCTTAGATTGTTTGAATCTTAATGCTTTGCCAGCTACGATTTAAATTTAAATTTAAAAATCTAATCATGTTTTCATTGAACCTAACTGATGCATTGTAGAAATAGGCAAAATTCATTGGTGACTTTGCAAGCATACAAGATATTATGTGTTTGTAAATGGGAAGTCTTTATACGCTGATCATTTGAATGCAGATTTACTCATGATTGTTTATTTATTCTAAATTCTTCACTATTTCAGTAGTCTGATAATATTACTTGTTATATTGCTGCAAACTATGTTCCTATGATGTCTGATAGTATTAACGATAAATATCTGTTACATTTTACTACAGGAACTAAGAGAACGTATTAAACCTTTTTTTCTGCGTCGCTTAAAGAGTGAGGTATTTAATGAAGACAATGACCAAACAAGTGCCAAACTTTCTAAAAAGAACGAGATCATTGTTTGGTTGAGATTGACGGGCTGTCAGGTTTGATTTGCTATGCTCCATGATATTTTTTTAATCCTTCCAAGTAGTTTCAGGTATTATTTGTATATTTCTCAAGTTGATCATTTATATGGTGTAGCGGAAACTTTATGAAGCTTTTCTAAAGAGTGAGCTGGTTCTTTCTGCTTTTGATGGGTCCCCGTTGGCTGCACTTACGGTACAAATTGTTTATAGTTCTTAGTCCTTTTTACTGCTTATCTCTAAAGCAACTTGTTCTGAGGAGAGTCAAATCCAGTTAAATAACAAATTTATTTTATGGGTTTTTTTTTTCTGTGTAGTTGAAACTGATAGAATGGTATCTTTCTTTAGAAGATTCTCCATTGCTTTTCTTATAGTTTAAAGAAAATAGGAGAATTGGTCTGTCTTATTGGTTTCGTTGGCATTTATTAATTGATTTTTCGAATTATTTTGAGATAATATGAAAATTTAGGATGACTTAGAATTTGCTTCACAATTGAAGAAAGAGTGTTCAGATACTTGCTTCCCAGAATCGAGGCCCATAGGGAATCAGGTTCAGTTACTAATTTCCAGGGAAGTCCAAGTGCAGAATATTTGGGGCATGTCATTACAGCTAAAGGGGTTGCAGTAGACCCAAGTAAGATTGAATGCATTAAGCACCAGCGAGCAGAGCCAACCCCAACCATTACAGTCACGAGACGCGCAGGCGGATAGAAATGCCTATAGATGAGGAAGGCGAGGGTAGCTCGCCGTCAAAGGGGGTGTACGGTAGCCGTCCCCACTAGAATAAAAATCTTTGGTTGGATCGCTACCATGGGGGGGCTCAATAGAATAAAAATCTTTGGTTGGATTGCTACCATGCGGTTGGATAGAAATTTCTATTTTCTAGCCGCTTTCGGGATCTTTGATGCTTTATTACATTCCCTTTGTATGAGATGACTCATAGACCTTATATATTGGAATTATATATCATTAATATTCTTTTTCTATCTTTCTCTCACTGTTTATGTTTATTTCCCTTAACTCTCTAACTCTTATACATAGAAAATGAGAATCAATTTGATTGAATTATCTTTAACTTCATTTTTACTATGCTCCATGATATTCTTTTAATTTCACTAAGTAATTTGATGGTGTGCTGCAAAGGAATTGTGTATGAACTTGTTTTCAATTTTTTTAAGTGTCAGAATTTTTCTTTATCTATTTGTTTTGGTAGGCGGGGTCACATTTCTAGGTTTCATGCTGTTGTTTCGTATACTCTGCTTGGGGTAGTTGGATATGATGGGATGAAAATAGATTAGGGTTTTTGTACAATAAAATATACAATGAATAAACTTTTGTGAAGGTAGGATTTAAATGTGAAAGTAAGCTATAATTAACTATTGAAAAAATTCTTTTACTTGTGTAGAAGAAATTCAAATTTTGCTTCATGTTTGTTTTTTTCCGTCCTTGGATGATTTTGGATCAGAAGTCCAGGGCAAATGTGGTTGTCGCTCTCCATGTTTTAAACCTGTTATGGTCCTTAGCCATAGTTAATGAAGATAATATTTTAGGTTGTCAGTTCTCTTGTGATCATACTAATTGTCAAGGTCTGTTTGATATGAACTAGATCCTGAAGAAAATATGTGATCATCCACTACTATTGACAAAGCGAGCTGCTGAAGATGTACTAGAAGAGATGGATTCAATGTTGAAGCCAGATGAAACTTGCATGGCAGAAAAATTGGCAATGTACATAGCCGATGTTGCTGAGAGAGAGGACTTTAACGAAAAGCATCCCAACCTGTCATGCAAAATATCTTTTATATTGTCTTTACTGGTAATTGTGTGATGTCTATATAGATTTGATGTTTTTATTGTTTTCATGCGTTTGCTGACATTTTTAAATGGAATGGTGTTGAATGACCTTTTATACAGGAAAACTTAATTCCTCAGGGGCATAATGTTCTTATCTTCTCGCAAACTCGAAAGATGCTTAATCTTATTCAGGTTAGCCATTTAGAATAATATTACTAGTAAACTAATGGTATGAATTTTTGGGGTATTTAATTACATGGTCATTTCATGGGACAATTCAATGTTTTCCTTACTAGAAAAGTGAATAATTTCTTGAAATTTGTGCAATTCTGGATGACTTTTTGGATGCTAACTAGTTGCCTACCAAGTTTAATAGTATAGGGCTTAGCTTCCCCAAAGTTCTTGTTAATTTTAATAGAAAGTGTTCGAAAACACTTATTTGGGCAGCTATCACTATGTTGAATTTCAACTACTTTTTTTAGTTTTTTATAAGCAAATGCTTGACACATAACTTATACTATTGAATAAGTTAAATTGTTGTGAAGTACTTCATGAAGAGTGTGAAATTGTATGAGAAAATATTCAAGGTTTGCAATCATTAGGTTTCTGTGTGGTTACTTGTTAGTGATGCAGTGGCATATAAATGTACAAGAATGGTCAAATATTCAACCTCTCTTTACTTGGACAAGATAATTTCAGTTCCAAGCTTCTCATGGAGAATTCCGTGCCTGCGGTTTTGACTTGATGACATCTTTTCCAAGTAGGGAGCTTGATGCAGGAGCAATATGAAATTGGGGGAATACTTGTCCTGAATTCGAAAGTGTTTTAATGATGAATAGTCTAGTTGGATTATTTGAAAAGTATATTTTTTGAGACTTCAAATTAGTGAAGTTAATTAGTCACTGATAACTGTATGTTTACAGGAATCACTAGTATCCAATGGTTACGAGTTCTTACGCATTGATGGAACCACAAAAGCTATTGACAGAATGAGGCTTGTTGATGTAAGTGTTAAATCATGTAAATCAGCAAAAGTGGTATCAATAATAGTCAAAATGTTCCTGAAATCATCTTGGTTTTATGAGTAGGATTTCCAAGAAGGTAATGGAGCTCCCATATTTCTCCTGACATCTCAAGTAGGTGGTTTGGGCCTCACGCTTACAAGAGCAGATCGTGTGATAGTTGTTGATCCTGCTTGGAACCCAAGGTGTTCTCTTATACTTTTTTTTCCTGTTTTCTACAAAGATGCAGTTTTTCTAAGTTTAGGTTCATATGTAATATAAGCAATATATCCCTTGCATTTATTTGCACTCTTTTAGTTGTATCTTTTTTTTTTAACTTAACTAGGATATTAATTGCATAAGCTGTGGTTCCTAATTTGTTATGGTTCTTATATTTGCAGTACGGATAATCAAAGCGTGGATCGTGCATATCGAATCGGACAAAATAAGGATGTCATTGTATACAGATTAATGACTTGTGGGACTGTTGAAGAAAAGATATACAGAAAACAGGTTAGAGATTGCTTTCCAAGCTATTTATATTCAATGGTATGAACACAGGATTTAACAATGCTTAGGTAAGTGTTCCTGGGTCCTGTATTAGCGTTTATGAGATTTTGGAGGACATTAAGTATAGTTGTTTAAATGATGAAAATATCTATGTGTTTGACACGACAGTGTCATTGGACCTCGTTTGCTATGGTGTGATAGCATGTCCACCTCTACTTCATTATTTGACAATGCTTAGATAAGTGTTGCTGGTGTCCTGACTCCTGTAGTAGGGTTTCTGTAGATTTTTCAGGACATTAAGCATAGTTATTTAAATGATTAATTGCCTACGTGTTGACCCAACAATGTTATCAGACCTCATTTGCTATGGTGTGATAGCATTTCCTTTATCTGCCTGGTTGGATATTTTTATTGCACGTGGTTCCCTTCTGCTTCATTATTTGATTAATATTGTATAACATCTTCATATTAATTCTTCAAACATTTTGTTTAGATATACAAGGGCGGATTGTTTAAAACTGCAACTGAGCATAAAGAACAGATTCGGTATTTTAGTCAGCAGGTGAATTCTAAAGTAGTTGTTGGTAGTGAGAAATTTCAGATTCTTAACCTTAGTAGAATGCAACATTCTATACTGAAATTCTATTATTGTTTTAGGATCTTCGTGAACTTTTCAGTCTCCCAAAAGAAGGTTTTGATGTATCCCTTACTCAGCAGCAACTATACGAGGAGCACGATCACCAGCACACAATGTACGGAATATTACTTTTATGCAGTAGTGTTAATAATAACAATTGTAATTGTATTTCTGTGACTAACTGTGAGTTGATGCTATAGTGTTAGTATAACTAAATTAAAGAGTAAGCCTTCAGGTACTAGCAACAATGTTTGTGATACTTATAATATTTGACTAAAGAATATTACTTGTAAGTGTTAAAGAATTTTTGGAGCAAAGATGTTTTTTTTTTATTAGTATCTCAAATGTGTTCAAAAGCATTTCCTTTTTGGACGTGACTTTGAAAGTAGAAACTGAATTCATTATTTACTTGTCATTATTTACTGTAGGGACAAGTACTTCAAGTCCCATATCGAGTTCTTGGAAACTCAAGGTATAGCAGGAGTCAGTCATCACAGTTTACTCTTCTCCAAGACAGCACCTCTACCTGTCGCTGTAGGAGTAGAAGAGGAAGTTGAAAGGTGAAACCCATTTATTTCGTTATCGTTCTGTAACTTTAGGTTCTATGCTTGATGGATCGTAACAACAGATTGGTTTTTCTTTTTCATGTCTGTTTGTTTGAAATCTTATGTGGTTTACTTTGCTATTCCTGGCACAGAATCAGAGGAGCTTCGACTGCGGGAAGTTCATTTTCAAGTTCTTTACAAGAACGCAATGTGAATGGGTAGAGCTCTACGAATCATGGCTTTGCTCATTTGAGAACAGAAAGTAAAGTTATTTCATGTGATTGTATTTCTGGTTTGCATCGTTGACAGGGCCGAATATGCTTTCAAGCCAAAGGATATAATCATAAACAAGAAGCCTTCTTCACCGATTGACGCGGATAAATTGACAGAATCAGAGATTAAACAGAGAATCAACAGGCTGTCACAAACTCTTGCAAATAAGGTATTGTTACACGCTATCTTCTTCGGTTAGCAATTTAGGCCTGGTTTCTGGTGAAGATGTTAAGAATCTATTCAGTCTAGTCTAAATAATCAGATAGAAAGAGATGTAAAAATCAGTTGTGTGTGATTCTGAGTTAAGCTTTCTTTCTTTTTTCAGTAGCGCATGTTAGTCGCAATTCTTATTAATTGATTTGCCGTTGTGATTAACAATGTCTGCAGGCAATGGTTTCAAGATTACCAGATAAGGGGGAGAAAATAGAAAAGCAAATAGGTGCACTGAAGTCTGAGCTGTATGGACTTGGAACAGTGAAAGCGGAAGGAAACGAGAGAAATGTTATCGACTTAGATGATATAACTGGGGAGTTCCATAGAGTGGTCATATAAGACAAGATGTCGTTGTAATTTTATCGGATGGCCCTGAAGGGAGGCAGATATACGGTAAATAGATTGATCTGAGCATTGCAACCTGAAAAAAGAAAACGTTATCATTGTAATTGCTTGCCGTTATTATTTTTCCGTTAATACTTGGATACTGACTCGTCCTTATTTGTGTGAGTGTGTTTTGGATTGCAACGAGTCTCATTTGCCGTTTTTTTATGTACGATATGAATGCCGTTGTTTGAGTGTGTTAATAATAATTCTCTTATTATATTACTGATAATTTTGTAATGTTATGGTTAATTGTGTGAAGAGAAAGATGATGTCAACACGTTAAATTAATGACAAAAGAATATTTAGCATAAAAGGATATCGACACAAGAACGAAGTAACATGTGAAAATTCAAGTCTCTCCATATTTTACAAGGGTGCAGTGGACTAAAGCCAGATTTTACTTCTCTCGGGATCTTCTAGATTAAAAATGCTCTTCGCCTACTATGGATACATAGAGCGTCGATTGTAACAATTATAAGGGACAACATGGTGGCTTTGGTTTCCGAGGAGGAAGCAGACGCCAAGAGAAACATGGAGGAGAAGCTGTTGCATCTTGGAGCAAGCGTTGGAGGACTTGGAATGGCAGATCTGGCGAGCCGAAATTCTCTTGATTGTGAGGTTTTTTCGTTGTATTCTGGCTCTGTTTCATGCCGGCATGCTCGTTGATTTGTAGGTGACTGGAGGAAAGGGATGATAGTCATCTGAATTTGGGTGGTTTAGGGTTTGTTAGAATTCAGAAGAGAAAGAAAACGATCCTGTTCATGTAGGTGACTGGAAATATCGATATACAAATTATGGAATATAAATGCATATATTGATATTGATATTGGTTAGCTTCGAAGAAAATTATGGATATTTGGAATTAGAGGGTATATAAATGCATTCAGATACGCAATTAGTGAATCAATATATATATATATATATATATATATATATATATATATATATATATATATTGTTGATATTTATTGATTTTTCTATATTTGTTGGTATGTAGTAAAGTTTGCATTTCACTCTCCAATTTCATATCAATTCTTGATTTTCTAAATATTTCAATCTAAATATAGACAATCTCGTAGATATTTTAATCACTGATAATAAATAATAATTATTGTTGTTTATTCTATCCAACCATTTGAAATTCAGCATGGACCACGACTAGAAAGGAATTAATCTTTGAAATTAATTCAATAAATTAGACAGAAACACAAAATGTATACATCTGCTTTTCAAGAAAAATTCACTGATAACAAATATGGACAATCTCGTAGATATTTTAATTACGGTTAATAAATAATAATTATATCCAATAATTTGAAATTCGAGCATGGACCACAACGAGAAAGGAACTAACCTTTGCAATTAATTCAATAAATTAGAAAAAAGAGCATGCATGATGTATACACCTGATTTTCTAGAAAAATTCATTTCTGCTTGATTTATTCTTTTTGCTAATTAACGTTTCCTTGATAGAATATATAAAGGATGAATCATCAGGATATATACGTCCAAAAGCAATGGCTAAAGTATCAGTAGCATTGCTTACGATCTTATCACTGCTCTCGCTGCTATCAAAATGCAGTTTAGCTGTCGACACTGGTGAAACACGAGTCGTGAACATAACTAATAATTTGGGACCAGGGATCATCCTCACCCTTCAATGCAAATCCAACGACGACGATCTTGGCAAACACGATCTCTCGTTTCAGAGTAACTTCCATTGGGAATTCAAGTCCAATTCTCTCTTCCCAAACACACTATTCTATTGCAACATGTGGTGGCAAAATGTCTACGGAAGCTTTGATGTGTACAAAGCTCAACGAGATGATAATCGATGCGCATCGAAGTGTTGGTGGAGAATTAAACAAACCGGAGCATTTTCTTACGATGAGACCAAGGATCGATGGGATCTTGTGTACATTTGGCAGAAGTGATTGAAACAATAAGAGTTTGGATGAATAAGTGATTGGATGAATAAATTGAAAAGGGGCTTCCTCCTATTTCCATTTCTCTAGTTGAAACTTTTATTACTTCTCTCTTTTTTTTTCTTTCTTTTTTGTTGCATAAGATCTCAAATTGACCCAAGATTATAATGTTAGTTGAATCAAGATAATAAAAGAGATACGTTACCCGCCTACAGATTTTTATGATTATTTGGGTTGGAGGTTTAGGCCGAGATTCGAGATCGAATTTAGTCGACGTTGAAATTCATAACATTGTGAAATGAAACTAAGAAAATGCTTCAAGTATGAGAGAGAGAGAGAGAGAGAGAGAGATGAAGCTGAAAGTATTTCTCAGAGTTGATGCTATTGCAAAAGGACAAGGATTGTCTGCCCTCTTTGTTCCCGTGCCTTCCCATGCTCTCTTGTTTGTGTAGTCACGGTTAAACCACGTCAACATTTTATATTACTATTCATTTTTGTTTTATTATATATAAAAAAACAATATAAAATGTTGACATGGCTTAACCGTAACCATACAAAACAGAAGAGCACGAAAGGGCACCGAAACAAAGAGGGCAGACAATCCTTGTCCATTACAAAAACCGTACTAAATGATTCTTCACAATGCTATTTATAACAGCTCATTACTTACGACAATTCATAGTATACCCTTCTAACTAACTACAATCCTCAACTAACTCATTCCTCCTTGAAGTGACACTTGACATAATGTTATATCAGTTATTAGAAATAAGCTTTAAGCCCAAATGAATTTGATGTTATTAAATTCAACATTGATATCACGGATTGACCATATTTGTGGTCAATTCAATAATTTGCCCGCATCGATGTATAGCGAGTGTAACATCAACTTATAAACCATTTGAATAAAAAAAAAATTTATTTGAATATGAAAGTGAACTTAAAAGTTAACTTTCACGAAGTTGCTCCAAAAATAATGTATAAATTCATTTCAACCCCAACTCAAGGAAGTTGCTTCACAAATCATAAAATTCATGGTGTAGAGATTGAGCATACATAAGAAGGTTAAGTTAATAGAGAAGTGCTAAGTTATCGAGAGAGAAAGAAAAGGGAAGAAAGCTTCGCCGACTGTGAGGAGCAGCGTCTCCTATGGGGTGGTGTCACTGGTGCGGTTGCAATGGTTGGCGGCAATAGGGCTGTTTCTGTTTATCATTTTAATTTTAGGGTTGTTTCTGTATTTATTATGTATCATTCTGTATTGCAAGTATTTTTGAGTAATAAAGTATAAGTATTTCAAGTTCTGTTATTTCTATTTCTAAATTGTTCTCCAATACAAGGTTTACAAGTAAAGAAAAGAAGTTAAAGTAAAATTTATTTGTATGTTGCAGATTTTCAGTTTATGCTACGACCAACATAAAAATTGCATCTTCTCTCTGCACCTCTCAAATTTGATCAACTCCCCCAATGCTAAAATATTATTCTCAAGCAGTATTATTATTACAGTATTTGCCCGCTCAAATTATGTTAGCACAGGGGATTTGGTTGAATCGTAACTTGCTCGAATAATTTGAATACTAAAATTTTTTCTATTCGAATATATATCAGCAAACTAGTCCATTCCACAAAAGATATTAATGCTGCAACAAACAGAATATGTAAGAGCATATATTTGGTCATGATGTCGATGTGACAACTAAAGCTGATTCCTTACACAATCAAAAAGTGGGTTATTTCTTAATGTAATCATATATTTGGTCATGATGCTACTGCAACAATTTTTTTTCATTGCGACATTCTGACCTCCCGCATTTTCCTAGTCATAGTTGAATAGAAACACACGAAACAAGAGGACGGTTGGATAGAACATTTCATCTGTCTAAACAAAATCCCATCTGTCCTTGTAGATAGACCGCCCCACATGGCGTATATGAATGAAAACGTTGCTGACCATGTCGATAATCATGAGTGGAGCCTTGATAAACTCCAAACCTGATTGCAATATTCTCTTCATCCTTGGCCTGAAACGTAACCATTGCTTCGGCCAATGATCAGGATAGAGCCAATGTAAATTCCTCCGGCAAACCAGCCAGGCAGAAAGCTGCCCCGGGTTGCGGATTTCCTCCTGTAGGTGTTTGCAAGCTGAATGTTGATGGGTGATGTAAGAGACCTAAAACTTATAGGCGCCAGAGGTATTGTGACTGATTCTAATGGGAATGGAATGCTAGTTTCTTAACTAGGGTGCAGGGGATGTCCAAAGACTCTTAAACTGAGAACCTGGTTAATGGGACCATTGAGGAGTGTCACCCTATTACTTACATGTCAACTGGGCAAAGCCAAAGCAGCATACATTCATCCGCTCGCGAGCTTCTGAATACTCTCCTTATAACACACTCTAGAGGTAGAGGGAAATTATTGGTAGGATCGACCCGTCCATGACTAGTTCAGAATAATACAATTTAACGAAAGGAAGGACAAATGAGTAAATGGTAGATGAAACTTTTATTTACAACAGCATTATTGATCTCTCTTATTTTGGTCCGACGAAACAAAGAGAGCATCAACAATATAAAATAGTATTCTAGTTCCAAATTTTCGGCCTTAATCATTAGTTCAGAATCCAGATGAGCAGTCACTGCTAGTATCTTTCTTTTTCGCTCTAATCTTAAGAATCTATGATGTTGGGTAACCAGAAGAACTAAATCAGCACCCAATAATCCCAAAATGAACGTAGCTGGTGAATGATTCACGGCAAACAAATGATTCATAAGTCATATACAAAGTTAAATAAACAAACTTAAGCTTCTGATCGCTTATATGAACTCTAATCGTAAAAAATCCATGAGATTCAATCTATAACTATATGAGACTTGAACTGAGAAATATAAATAACGACGACGGAGGTATACAAAATAAAGCAAGAAAAAACTCACTTTGGAAGCAATTCGCATGGATGAAGCCATGAGCACCTTGCCATGATCATCCACCACAAACCCAGCGGGAGGATTTGGCAGCGGCGTCGGATGAAACCCAACGACCTCGAATTCGAAATCCCACTACCAGAGCTATCCACAATTTCAACATCACCGAAGCTAAGATACTCTGAATCGCCACCGCCGCCCTGACGCTTTTTTTTCTTGTTGCTGAATGTTGAATATGTACTCCCCTTCTGATTTGGCTCAATCAGAAAATGACATGTGATATTTGTTTTTTAAAGCTCAAGGAAGATTAAATAACATGTTTATTATTTTTTAAAATAATAAAATATGTGTTAAAATATCATTGAATAAAATTAAAAAGTAAGTTCTCAGAATATATAAGTATGATCCATTATGAGTATCCAAGTATTATCATAACTTCATCGATACAAATAGGATATAAGGTCATCTTCAAACGAAAGAAGGTCAGAGGGCTTGTTTTAGCCCTATAGCCCTCCAAAAAATTAAAATTTTAATGAACAGTGCATGACCATATTTCTTACCATCTCCAACCGAGGGGCCAGAGGGTTATAGGCCAAACATACAAAAAATCGTCTCCAACCGAAGGGGCCAAACGATCATAGGGCCAAACATAATTTATTATTTAAATTTAAAAACTATAACAACTTAAATTTAAAAACTACAACAACTTAAATTTAAAAATATATGATGGGTCTATTTTTCCTTTGAATCCAAGAACTGGTAATATCTCTTTAAATGAGTACATGAAGCGCTATATGATTATACTTTCCCGTGCCACAAACAAGTTCCTACAACAAGATCTTGTTGCACATCTTTGGGCCAAAAAAAGCATGGAGTAGGCGTTTAAGTTTTATGTTGTTAAATGTTTTTAAAAATGTTGTTTAAGTTTCATGTTGTTAAATGTTTTTTTATTTATGTTGTTTAATGTTATTTAATGTTGTTTCATGTTATGTAATGTTATTTAATGGTTTGGGAAGTTATAGGGAAAAAAATAGAAATTTTAAATTAAAAAAAACTGAAAAAAAAAATTCAAATATAAAGCCTAAGTGACAACACCTAGCCGTTACATTTGAATTCCAACCTGGTCCAGGGCTGGTTGGGTTGGGCCAGTCGGTTAGCCCTTTGGCCTTTTTTTGTCCCAGTGGGGCCCACGAGCCGTTTGGCCTAGCCCTCGGTTGGAGACAGTTTTCGTGTCATTTTAGGCTATTTTCAACCTTTTGGCTGGATCGGTTGGAGATGGCCAGAGGGCCAAAGAGCCGAAAATAGCCCGAAATGACATGAAAACCGTATCCAACAAAGGGCTAGGCCAATTGGCTTGTGGGCCCCACCAGGCCAAAACCACCAAATCAGGCCAGTGGGCTGGTCATCTCTAACTAGCTAGCCATCCCACTTTTTTGTTTTTGGACGATTTTTTTGCCCAACCCACTTTTTTTTGACGATTTTTTGCATACACCATTTCTCACATACTTTTCGCTATTCCATACTATCTTACCTTATTTTATTTCAATTCTTCACGTTCTATTCTCTTCCAATAATCTTTCCTTTAATTTTTTCAATAAATTTCAAATGGCCATCTCTTTCAATAATCTTCTTATGTCCGAAAATCTTAGTTTAATATGGTAGTTTAATTTAATTAATTATATTAATTCAATTAAAATAATAAATTATGTTTGACCTAAGGCCTTTGACCCTTCGGTTGGAGATGGTTGTTTGTCACATGGTTATGTTTGGTCTATGACCCTTTGCCCCTCTCGGTTGGAGATGATTTTTTGTCACATGACTATGTTTGGCCTATGATTCTTTGGCCCATTCGGTTGGAGATGGTATGCATTAAAATATAATTTCTTGGAGGGTTAACAATTAAAGAGAGCCCTCTAATTCTCATTCGGTGGGAAATAACCTAATTTTAGATCAAAACAAAATGGAAATATGGCTTTACACTTGAAAATGTTCCTCTCTCTCCAGCTTTACCGTGTAGGGCCAACAAATGAGGTGAAAAATTAGTTGCAAGTTTGCAACTGTGAAACGCGCTGAGCAAGTTATGGGTTTTACAGCTTTTGCAACTCCAAATTGGGGTTTTTTATTGGGTCAACCAAGATGTGAGACCTCCAGTGCAAACATCTTTTACATTTTAAACTGGTGGTGTTCACACAATTCTCTGATAGAAAAATAAATAAAGATAATTATAAAATAAGACTGTTAGCGTAAATTGAAGATGCTTTAACACTCAATATTCTAATAGAAAAAATACATAAAAATATTACTGACATAGCTTTTAGCGTCTCGTAATATGGAAAAGGATCTTGGGGTTGTTAAGAATTCGCTGATCGTGATCATTTATCGTATATTGTATTGTTAGAAATCATTTTATAATTTAAAATTTAAAATTAAATATAAATAGCTGACCGTACGATGTACTATAAATAAGGTAAATATTATTATATTTTAAATGCATAAAAATTATTTTCTTGCCACGTGGTACAAATTTGGCAGCCACGTCAGCACAAATGTGGATCATATATTTGCTATATCGTCACTTACCGGTTTACTTGACAGATTTTCTAACGAATATATGAAATTGAAATAAAATGATAAGTAAATATATGAAATTGAAATGTTTTAAAGATATTGTAAGAAATTAAAATTGATCCCAAACCTGAGAGGGTAAAATGTAATTTACCCCAAAATCATTGACGGCCATGTGTAATCAACAATATTCATTTATAAGATGACAAATCAACGGTCCTTATTTAATAGCAGTAAATTAATCCCGCTAGCTTTTATTATAGTGTAATATATTTAGAATACTGTTGTGAATAAGTAGGGGTGCAAAAGTAGGACTTTCCCGCTCATTCCCTTGCCCTGTTTATGTTGTGCTTGCCAATTCCAGCAACTCCACTGAAACCCAGAAATGGCCAACAATTCCATTTACATCTCAATTCTTTCAATTTTCAGAAATGGCCAATTCCTCTTTCAGCCCTACTCGCATTCATGGAGATTGCGTGCAGAAGCAAATGACAATCCTGATTAATTAGGCGGAATCGAAAATCAGAACGCAAAACCGAAAAATTAAAACCCATTTTTTTTTCATAATTTTTTTCACAATTTCAACTGACTCTCTCCCTTGAAATCTCCCTTTCGACTCTCTCTCTCTCTCTACTTTCTCTCTCTAAAAAGCGTGTTCTTCCATTTTACCAAATCCAACGATTTCGTTTGGAGATTCACAGAGGAAGGCCGGAGCTTTTATTGTTTGCACGATGAGTTTTCTCTTTTGGGTTCTCTTCAGTCATGGATCAGCTTCAAGATTCTTCAATTACATCTGCAAAATGTTTCATGGCCTTCATGAGTGTCCAGTCTATTCCGATATATGTGTCTGCGAATATATTTTAAATTTTGAGGAATAATTAAAGGTCAGTTTGGTATTTGATTTGGATCTTCTTTTTTTTTTATAACTCAAACACAAGTTTTGAGTCACAAATTTAAAGTTCTTGTTTGTTATTTGATTTGGATCCAATTCTCAAAACCACAACCCAATTTTTTTTTCAAAACAAAGCCTTCTTGTTGAAAACGTGTTTTTAGACTTTTTGGATCTTCTCTCACGTTTGTCTCTCTCCCAATCCCCTCTCTTCCGTCTTGCCTCTTAGATTCTCTCTCTGATCTCTCATCTCAATTGGATCCCCCATACCAACCACCATTGGCGCAGCCGCGCCGAACGTCGGAACCTGCACGGAGAATTGCTGCCATTGATTTCGACTACCAAGTCCTGGAATCCAACCCAAAGCCATCCTGTATTTGCAGGACCAATATAGTCTGTTGGGCGAGAATGTTGCCAAGATCAGAACCGATCTCATAAAGGAGCATCTTACTACTTTCCGAACCCACTTGGAAGCTTTCGCTCAAAAGCAGCAGGTCCCATTTTTCTTCTCAATCAATCAATTTCAGTACAAAATAACCCAACTTTCAGATCAAAATTTCATACATGCACGAAGGTTGGAGTGAGAGATGATAACAATGAGTTCATCAATGTTAGGCCTGGGTGTTCAAATTTGTTTCTTTTTTGAAAGAGCATAGAAATTTTGATTAGTTTGAGACGCAGAAATTGCATACCAAACAAGGTTTTGGATTTAAAAATTTTAAATCAAAACATGAGTTTTTAAAAAAAATAAAAATTTTGCATTCAGTTCTCAAGTAAGATGTCAAACGGCCCTCACAGTTTGTTCAATTATTTGTTATAGCCGTTCGTCAAAATACATGAATTCGACATTCATTAATTTGAATGTCCAGTAGCACGATTTGAGTGGCAGCAAATGGGCAATTGGAAATTGGAAATTACCCACAAGAAAAACGAAATGAAAGGTTACATTAAGCAATGGGATGATGAGATGAGATTCTAGTGGTGTTGAGTAGATTAATCACCACCTGATTCACAAGATGGTAGTGTATGCTATTAGTGTGATTAGCATTAGCATTAGCAGCACCCCAAACCCAAAAAGCCTTAGTGCTCTTGTTTCTTCTAAACTTAGTGACACTAATCATCTCCTCTGGGAAAGCCAAGTCCGTCCCTATTTAGTTGGCCAAAATCTCTGGCGTTTTGTTGATGGCTCTCATCCTTGTCGAGATACCACTATTCTTCCTTCACCAACCAAGCCTCTGAACGAAGGTGTTTCTGTTGATGGCTCTCTTCCACGGTTCCACCCCACCTACCACTATCCTCCCTCCTGCTCCCGTTCCTAATCCGGATTACCTCACATGGTTTCATACTGATCAGTTTCTTGTTAGTATTCTTTACAGTACCCTCACCAACTTGGTGCTTTCGCAAGTTGTCAGTTTTCAGACTTCGAAGGAGATTTGGGATTGTCTCCATTCCACCTTTTCCCAACACTCCATTGTAATGCCGCACAGTTGAAATTCCAACTTCTCTTTGTTCAAAAAGGATTGAAGACGATCCCTGAGTATCTCTCTCATGTCAAAAGCTTGGCTGATCAACTCTCTGCGATCAATGATCCTGTCTCTCCAACTGAACTTGTCGTGCCAACACTGAAATAATGGGGATGACAAAGCTGAAACCTTATTAAGTAGACTAGTTGTTGTCAATTGTATTTGTTTGTTTTGAAATGGAGGGCAAAAGGGGAGGGGTGAGATTAATGCCCTTTTTCACTAAAGCTGTAATGCCTCACCGATTTCTGTTGCTTCTTTCATTATTTGTTATGTGTAAGACTTTCAAGATATCTTGTTATAAAGTATAAACTCAATATTTATTTGTTAATTGCAGCTCGAGATGCTGACTCTACAGCAGTTGCCGCTTTGGATGGTCCCGCACCTTACGTAAGTTTGTCTCTCCACTCACATCCATCCATTTTCTCACTTTAATGTATCCATATGTTTTTTGTTTCACCCACACACAAGCTTTATTTAATTTTTCTTATGTTAATTCTATTTCGCATTGGTTCTTATTTAAGCAAACCTGCAGTAAGTAGAAACCATCTTAGGAAAGTAAGAATAAAGATTAACGTCGTATAAATGGAATGCCGATAGTTATATTTCAATTATTCTTATGTATAAATGCCAATAGTTGTTCACTTCTTGATACATTACATAACCTGTATATATATTATATGTTGAAATATTAACGGTAATTTGTTTTAATATCAATATAACTACACCAATACATGCTTGGTGTACAAGAGACCATAGGATCCAAAGCTAGTGCAAGTGTGAGAAGAGTTGGAAGAAATATCTTCTAACTTGTTCATTGTTTAGTTATGCAGTTAGTGTCAAGTGCTTGTGTGCATTATATGTACTTCAAGTGAGCTAATCTCCATTCTCCACCATGTAAATGTGTGGCGTGTGAGAGAAGCAACTGGGTAGACTTTTCCTATAAACGAAAAGCTAACCGTGTGAACCCACAGAGAGAGAGAGAACAATGTCTCTCTCTAATGTGAAAATACAACACAAGATTGAGGGAGAGCCGAAGAGCCCCCTCTTCCAAAGTAGTCAAAATATTTTCTTCTTCTCTTCCGTGTCAAATTTCCAACATGGTATCAGAACTTCGGTTCAAAGAGAAGAGAAGAAGAAAAAGATTGGAGAGGAACAAGTTTGTGGCACAAAGTGTTCAACCTCGGTGCCGAATCCAACAACAAAGAAAAAAAAAGGAGCAGAAAAGATGGAAGGCTGCAGTCAAGGAAGGTGTTTGCTTCCCTCCAGAAGAAAGGCGTTTGTTAGAGAGAAACTTTGCAAGGTGCTGTTGAAAATAGAGCAGAAAGTCATTGCTCACTGCCCTCAACATCTGCAGTCAAGAAAACCATGTTGTGTTTTTTCATTCTTCAACCAAAAGATGGCAGCAAGAAAGCAACATGAAAAAAGGCATCAAAGTGGAGAAAAACGTTGTTGTTTCTCCCTGCCCGACTCTGAAGAACTAGACATGTTCAAGCTAAATAAAAGCTTGACATGAGCACCAAGAGTGCAAAGTGTTCTGGAAAAGGGCTTGCTAAACCCTCTTTTTGAGTGGAAGAGAGTTCAGAAAACAAGACCCGCAATTTTCAAAAAGTATAGGTCAGAAAATATTTTCTTGTCAAAATTCCAACATATTACTTCCAAACTGATATGTTCAAGAATTCATCAACTTGGATTTCGTTTCTCTGCCACGTGATTATAACTCCTCCCAGAATTTAAATATTATTCTAATTAATTAAATTTTTTTTTTGGTATAGTTCATTTGTGGGAAGAGTGAAGGGAGCTATCCCATATATTCTTGGGTTTACAATCCAAGTGCTCATCGGGTGCAACTCTATCATGATCAAGAGCGCATTCAGAGCTGATATGAAGTTTACTGTGTTTTTATGTTATAAAAACACAGTAGCTTTGTGTGCTCTACTTATAGCGGCACTCTACAGCAGACAGAGACCTCCTGTTCCCAAGGGTCGTCTCTTAGCTTGGATCATGTGCTTGGCCGTATTCGAGTAAGTACCCTATCTTAAATAAAAATTGAAAAACAAATAATTTATATTTCAAGGATTAATTATTTTTCATTTAACAGGCCATTTTTGGGGCAACTTGCTGTGTTTGCTGGACTACGGTTCACGCCGGCCAGTTTCTCTAGTTGTATTATCGCAGTTGGCCCGGCCTTGACATTCATAGTCTCGTGGTATCACGGGTATGTTCTAAACTATCGGCTAATTGTCATTTACAACTCATTTAATTTTTGTTAATAAAGTATTTAAATTTGATTATCATTTTTCGTGTTACAGGTTGGAGACGGTCCACATCCATGAGAGACCTAGTCAAGCAAAATTGCTGGGGGTGTTGATGGTGATTGGTGGAGCCATAGTTGTGAGTCTGATTGATGGCCCCACCATTACCATTGCGCATGCCTCCACTAGCAGTGGCCACCCTTACAAGCTATCTAATAATTGGGTGAGAGGTCCACTGTTAGTCGGGATTTCAGTTATTCTTTCGGTTTGCTACAACTTGTTGATGGTAAGCGTGCTCACTTTTTGTTTGTTTTTGGGTTGACTTAAAACACACAAACACATTGTGCGCACTCGAATGAAAACACAAACACATTTGCTTTCAAAATGACATTTATCTTTATCTTACAATTTGCGTTTGTTTTTGTGATATTTTAGCAAGAGACTACTACGAAGTACCCTGACTTCCCATTAGTTTGGCTTAATGCATACGTTGTCGCCATTGGAGCGCTGATGGACACTATAGTGGCCGTCGCGCTTACTGGGAGGACTACATATGCATGGATGCTGGGTTTGAACGTGAAGCTGGCATGCTACCTATACTCGGTGAGTTTTTTTGTAATTTGAATTTTGAAATGATTTTTTGGCTGTGTAATATATACATAATTCTAAGTTTTGGCTTGTTCTTGTAGGGTGTGGTGGTTTCTGCATTCACGGCATGGCTACAGAGCCGGGTGATCCGGATGAGAGACGCGGTCTTTTTGACCTCCTTTAGTCCCCTAGCCACCGTTGTTGTAATGGTAATAGGGTTTACAATACTAAAGGAAGAACTTGACAGTGGGAGGTAAAAAAAAAAACTAATCTTTTTATACAAAATTTTGTTTAATCTTAACATATCGTGAAAACTTAAAAAGTTGGTTTTATGTTTCAGCATTGCTGGAGGTGGTGTTATAGTGATAGGCCTTTTCGTTTTCCATTGGGGCAGGAGGCAGCCAGCACCCGACGCGTAGCAGTTTGACTTCAAATAAAAGTTTAGATGCTGTAAATATATAAATATATAGATACAAAGTATTGGTGGTGTGTAATTTCACAAAATCAGGGCAGTTGACTGACTATCACTAAGCAATTGTTGCATACGGGATTGTTAAACTGTCCATCAATTGACTTCAGTTGCGTGACTTGCAAATATCCAGGCTTGTGACTTGGGCATGGATATAGGTGTTTGTTTGTACACTCAGATAATTTGAACACATCTCTTCAAAGAATACTATATATGGAGAAAGATTCACTTCCATTGAATTTTGTTATTCACGATGTGTGTGTGTGTGTGTATTAAACAAAATAATCCTCTCAACAACACATTCAGAATAAAACTGGGTTTGGCCAGGCGCAGCGGGTGCCATATTAAGATATGTGAGCTTCCCATCTGAGAATACAAAACGACCATGGATGCAGGCCCCTTCCTGAATTCAAACCTTCCACCATCGTCGACATAGAATTCACCTTCGGCTGCTTGTGAACTATTAAGTGCTATCACCTGCAACACTTAAACAAAAAATTTACAACCATCCACTCTACTACAACATACACTTTTCATACTACAAAGAATAATTCACTTCAAAAAGGTACTAGAAAAAGAAACTAGAATAGTGTTCCAACTTCACAGTTAAATGGTATGTAAGTGTTGGTCTAAAGTATAAGTATTTCAATCTACAATCATATTTCAATTAAAACGTTAAAACGTGTAAACAATTTGGCATAGGTAGTAAATTTTACCAATAAATATATCTATCCACCGCATCATCAAAATGCTTAGGCAATACAAAACATTGATTCTAGGTCCTATACGAAATGAATACTCAAATGTCAAGTGCATCTTCAATCTCCAGATGGTGAACCATCCAAAGGTTTAAAATGTGTGCAAAACTAAGTGCAAAACCATCATAGGGAGCAACTCCTACCCAAATAACCATGGTTCTCGCCTAAATGGATAGCATGCCAAACTGATACTAACGAACTAACAACTCACGTTCTGGATTGTCAAAGAACCCACCATCAGCACCTGAAACAACATTACAGCCATGAGCACCAGTTGAAAAAGACACTTCGCGTTAATAAGAATATATTGCTTTTGATACCTGACAATGAGATCCCAGTAAGACCAAGTGTCAAAACTATTGGAACTGAAACCCAAAGGTGATCCCAATCAGCTAAATTATCTCCTGTCCATACCGCTCCATACTTTTGACTTCCAGCAAATACTGCTCTCGACAAAACAAAAGGTATATCCCTTCCATCACCTCGCTTCACAAGCCCATCTGCTGTTGCCAAATAGTACCCATAGGCATCCAACCCAGAACCAACTGCCAAAGGTGGAGAACCAGGAGCTTATTTACTGACATGAAACACTAAGAATACCCTACATATGCATATTGACTCAAAATACCTAGTCCTGCAGATCAGGTATGACTTAAGCAGAAAAAGAACCAAATCATTTTCATATGCATATTGTTTCATTGTTCTATTGTTTCCTTTCTATATATTCTCTTTGTATGGACACACACACACCGTTTCATTGTTTCACTGTTTCCTCATGAATGGGAGCACGCACATGTAGACATAAAACAAGCATCTCAAGAGGGGTCCCCATTTTAGGGAAAACACTGAAATACCTTTGCATTATAGTTGAATGATCTGAACTGTCCGTTTTTTAAACCTCTGTTTAAGGGTCATCATGCTGGTCATAAAATGATTCAGTATCTCCATATTTGGCTGATTTCTTGACAAGGATGAACCGTGAATTGAGATTTAAAAATTAGATGGTTCGGATTATTTTACTAGGATGCTAAGTTCGTCATACAGGACAGCATAAACACTAAGATCTAAATGTAATAATTAAAGTGGCCTGCCATTTGAACCATCTGACTTGCAGTTTGAACAGCATCCTGTATGTGTAAGATCTCTCTCTCTCTCTCTCTCTCTCTCTCTCTCTCTCTATATATATATATATATAGAGAGAGAGAGAGAGAGAGAGAGAGATACATGTGATACGTGCATTTTGTATACAAGATAAGCTAAACATTCAAACATTTAAAACTTACATTAATAGAATGCAGGCATCAGAAGCTTAATAGTTACCGTTGCTGTATTAAACACTACATTCTTGTCATTGTCTTGTCATTTTTGTCATCCATGTTAGCTATAACGGCAGCACATGCTCCAGAAGAGTCGGTGAAGACATCAGCCTACAATACAGGACACTGTTCAGTAATGGGTCCCCAGTGTCAAGCAGATAATTAAAAGCATATTTCTTTTTGGTATAATGATTAAAGCACAAACAGGCGGAACTAGAGATTGAGAGTCCAAGTAGAAAATTACAAGCAACAACGATATGATAGTACAAGGTTTAACATATCCACTAACAAGAACCGTATAAGCAACCCTTGCATATGTCAGTATCAGAACATCAAATTAATTCGAACATATACAATGATCTTGAAGATGAAGTCAGCCAAATACCAAGCTTTCAACATGTTTTAGTGCCGAAGACAACAACCTGAATTACATCAACCAAGCTTATAACTAGTTTTAAACTTTTATTTGATAACTAAATTTAGATACAAAAATAAAAGATTAATATCTAGCAAAGATATAGTCAAGTACTACTGTACTATAAAAAAGTATACCTCCAGGGAAGGACCCAGTGATCCATTAGTTGGCTAACTGTTGAGCATAATATGCTCATATAACTTGATGGCTCTGTGAAGTTGCTTGGTTCCCCCATTTTGGAAGCCTAGGTAATCCATATTCATCAATTGGTGGCTCACAGTCTTAACTCGTGGTAATGAATGGCCCACCTGAAGTTCGACCAAAATTTGTTCCTCCATGATACTAAACCACGAAAAGAAAAAAAGAAAAGAAAAGATAATGCTGAAATTAACACCACTGATAATTATGTCAACCGTAATGCCAACAACAATAAAGAAATTAAGGACAAAATTGATCAACATGGAATGTGACGATAGATGCAACAAAATGAAGTACCATAATTCCGCCTTTTATGAAAAACTGAGCTACAGAAAAAGCAATATCTTCAGCTGGCCCGTGAAGATTTCTGGCCCCAAATGTTTTAAACCTGAAATGAATAGAGATCATGGAATTAAATATTGATATTATCGGCGAAATATCGCCGATAATATCGTTTTTTTTCAACAGCGATATTTTCAGAGTATTCCAATTGATTATCGTGATAATATCGCTCTCTCTCTCTCCGTCGTCGGAACAGCAGCCGAGCTCCGTCATCGCAGCTGCCAAGATTTGCGCCTCTCTCTGCCAAGATCTGCGCCTCTCACAGGTGGTGATGGTGCTCGCCGGAGTGTGCGCCACGGTGGAGGTCACGGTGTCGTCCGCCATTCTCGCAGAGGCGGGAGAGAGAAGACTGATGATGTGTGATGATGGTGGTGTCGTCCTCGAGCTGCTCAAGTCGAGCAGATGGTGCTGATGCTGTGTGTGTGTGTGGTCACGGCAAGAGAGGGAGAGAGGTAAGAGGATTTTGAGAGAGAGATAGAGAGACAGTGCGGAGAAGAGAGAGAGAGAGTCGAAGTGAGTGAGAGAAGGAAATGGCTTGGTCCCTGGTGTGGATTTGCACTTTGAAGTGTGTGTGTGTAGAAGTGGGGTGTGTGTGTGTGTGTGTGTTATCCGAGAGAAATCCACACTTTGAAGTGTGTGTCTGTGCGTGTGTGTGTGTGTAGAAGTGGGATGTGTGTGTGTGTGTGTTATTGAAGTGTGTGTCTGTGCGTGTGTGTGTAGAAGTGGGATGTGTGTGTGTGTGTGTGTGTTATTGAAGTGTGTATCGTGGGGTGTGTGTGTGTGTTATCCGAGAGAAGAAAAAAAAAATCCAAACCTGCTTTCAAAATATCCAGCCCATGTGTCAGTCCGTGTGTGTTATCCGAGAGAAAAAAAAAATGCAATGTATAAAGTGTAAAATATTGTACTAATTCATTATATATAAATGATTATGGTGTGTTTAAATTTCTTTCATTAATTACTACATATTTTCTACACTCACAATGTTTGCCAGCTCGCTATATAATCAACTTGATAATGTTAAATCCATCATGCAATGCATTTCCTTCCAATTTTTTGTGATAAACTAATAGATAATTGACTAAATAAACATCCTGCAAAGTTTCAATAAAAATTTTCAAGTTTTTCTTACAATTTCCGTGGTTTCCATGTAATTTTTATCGATATCGATATTATCCCGATATTTCCATCGATATTTCCGTGTTTTCGGATTACCGATATTTCCGATATTACCGATATTTTCTTCCTTGATAGAGATTGATCCAAGCACATAAATCAATAGGAAATTTTGATTCACAAAGTAAGAATATTAGAAGCATCAGTGATTCATTGGCCTTTTGCATGCAGTAAAGAAAGAATCATTATAATGAAAGGGAGTTTTGCTCCAAGATAAGACTGAAAAAGCTACAGCAGTATTACTATTTCAATTTGAAGCCTATAAGTAAGGCTATCCTACTAAAGAGAGAGTTTTGATCCAGAATAAGACTTATTCATTATAACTAGCTTTGAGCTCATATGTTACAGATTACCGTGTTGTTTGGTGAGGGGATTGTTAAACTGTCCATCAATTGGCTTCAGTTCTGTTACTTGCATGCATCATGGCTTGTGACTTGGCATAGATATAGGCCTTAGTGTGTGCACATCACTTAAATATTTTATTTAAGACACTCGGAATGAAAAGAAGAGAACCTGGATAACAGGATCATGGATAGGCTCATGAAAATGACCTTTACAGCCAGCACACTCAATATCAAAGCTCAATATGCGCAATGGAGCCATCTTCAAAAAAGTTCCCTTCTGGATTATGGCTGATAAGGTCTGAATATCTAAGAAAATGGTTAGTCAAGGATAGATAAATCAAGTAGGAAATAGCTCAAAATGTAAATGGCATTCATTACATGCTTCGCCAAACTCCAAATAGTGCCTTGAATGCATAAGGATACAGGCAATGCAACTCTTTCTGGCAGTACGACAAAGGCTTAGTTGTCTTATATTGTCCAGCAGGGTCCTGCAGGGACCTCAATCCAATTTCCACCAACCATGACGCAATCAATCATGAAAAGAAGAGCATAAAGAACATTGTTGTCATATCATATGTCATAAATTTCTTCATACCAAGGCCATCAATTTGTATGCCTTTTTCAAGAATGCCTGGCAGATTGGGGAAGCATAGAAGAGTAATAAAACAGTATTAGGCCTAAGCCACATGATGGAAACATTGCAGTACATATTGATATGCAAGGTGCAAGACAATATGAGGACTGTTCTCCAAATATACTCCTTACAAAGAGTAAATTAGATCAGTACAATGATACACAAAGAAAGACATGAAAGAATGGGGAGAACATTTGTCGTCTAAGAAGTTAAGTGATAATCAACCATAAAATGCAATGTAGGTGTTTCATTCAAAAAAGTAATTCAGATCATGCATGTTATCGAATGTTAATGAAACTGAAATTTTACCCCGGCAGCTGGCCACCATTGTTGGCAAAGCAACAACAATTTGAATCTGATGAGCTTATTGTGATCGATGATTCTACTGATGATTGTGCTCTGGCGACTGATAGTTCTATTACTTTGAGTGGTGTCACATCTACTTACAAGTTGCCTGGGAAGATTGCGACGATGTTGTTTCCCCATCAGCGTGATGGCTTAAAGTGGCTATGGTCTTTGCATTGTCAGGGAAAGGGTGGAATCTTAGGTGATGACATGGGCTTGGGAAAAACAATGCAGGTACAGAAAGAGGATACTTTAACAGATACGTTATTTTGGTGCCCTTTTTCTTCTTTTGTATAATTTATAGGTACTGGTTCTATCTTATTGCAGATTTGTAGCTTTTTAGCAGGATTATTTCATTCACGGTTGACTAAAAGAGTTATGCTTGTGGCCCCTAAAACACTGCTTTCCCATTGGATTAAAGAATTATCATCTGTGGGTCTCACTGATAAGATAAGAGAGTGAGGCTGCTTGGTCTTGTTTTATATGATTACTTTATCATGTATGTAAGAAAGCCAAGTAATCATCATCTGCTTGTGCTTCTATGTAGATACTATGGGACTTGCGCTAAAGCACGAAAATATGAGCTTCAGTATGTACTTCAGGTAATTCCTCTACAATATAAATACATCAGGTGATTGATGTGTCTTTTTGTCCAATCAAAATCACTGTCAACATTTTTGTTTCTTTTTTCATAAAGAACACTTCAATTAAGAGTAGAGAAAAACAACAAAGAGGTTGGTCAAGAAGACCAACCCAAAAGGGCCAAAACACAGAAAAAAAACTCCGAAACCATAAACAAATTCCATGAACTTCATCTGAGATGCAATATATTTATTAGCAAACAACATGTTTAACTATGCACATGCCATTTTTCCTTTTGAATTCAACATGAATATAGGAATGGAGAGAAGCTGATGCAATCGTTAAAATCTTTAATGACCACAGAATGAAGCATCATGATGCGATCCACATTATTTACTAATGTAGTTTGAGTGAACTTGTAGTACGACTTTGGCTGCACTTTTATTCTTTGGTAATAAGAACTATGCTTAAACTCCATATGACTCTGTTCTCACTTTTCATTGTTTTTCTCATAGGACAAAGGCATTCTTCTCACAACTTATGATATTGTGCGGGTTAACTCAAAATCTTTAAGAGGGGATGACTATGTTCATGATGATGGAAGGGAAGATATCATATGGGATTATATGATACTTGATGAGGTGAGATTGCATATGGTACTTTCTTTAAGTAATTGACTGTTACTTTTTTTTTTTTCCTAAGGGAACATTATAGTTTCTGTTAATTATCATCATGCCAAAGAAAGCTTATTAGTCATCCCAAATATTCAACCGCCTCTCACATACCATAGTGCAGGGTCCCGTCTAAGAGAAGGCTTGTTTCCTTGTATACGTCACATATTGATCAGGGATGAACTTTGATAAAACATGCATATTTAATTGGTGAATTATTGATTGTTTAGTATTTCCGTATTTTTTCTATAAGTGTCATCCTTTCAAGAAATTTTATTGCTTTTACGGATACTTTCAAACAATTGTTCTTTCAGATATATAGATATCTTTGAAATTATTAACAAAATTACCTTGTGTTAGTTTGTACATTTGAAGAATTTCATACCCTTGTGTTTCACCCAATCAATTTCCTTGCTTATATCAATTGAATGTTCACTCCCGTACTCACACGCATCCAACACACCAAATTATACTTGTAAAGTACTAAGTTGCCTGTGAGGGAAACCAGATTTCTTTATCTGAAAAGTGCATGAAACAACCTAATTTATTCGTGTAAGAATTTTATTTCCTTGCATAATGATAACTTTTAGTTTGATGGACCTATTTATATCTCAGGGGGCATCTCATAAAGAACCCTAGTACACAAAGAGCCAAAAGTTTGCTTGAGATACCTTGTGCCCATCGCATTATTGTTAGCGGCACGCCATTGCAAAATAATCTGAAGGTCAGATTCTGATGTGCCATATTATTCCATTTTTTTATGTTTTAAACAAAAACCTAGACATAATTTGTAGATTCTTTGTACTTTTACTTTCAAAATAGGAGCTGTGGGCCTTATTCAACTTCTGTTGCCCTGAGCTACTGGGTGATAAGAAATGGTAATAATTTCCTCCACATTCTGGTTGCCATGAGTTATTTATTGAAAGATTAAACAGTGCAAGGGAATAACATAAAGAACACGCACAGGTTTTTGTTTGAAATTTTGGATGTCTTCAATTGATCTCATTATATTGTATTTATACAGTTTTACAGAGGGTTTACAAGCTTTGACAATTTGCATAAGGAAAGATTCTACAAATCAATATTTACATAAAATCAGGGATCTTAATAAGGCAAATGAGTATGATCACGAAATCATCTATTGGACAGATGATTTCGTGGCCTGATGAGCATGATTGTCTCCATCTTGTCTATCACACCCCCGCAAGCTGACGGGGCGAAAGAGCACTGGAAGCTTGGACAAAAGATAGCGAAAGCGAGTAACGGACAGACCTTTGGTGAAGATGTCAGCAATCTAATCATGTGTCGAAAGATAAAGAACTTTCAGCTCGTTCCGAACAACCTTTTCACGAACATAGTGATAATCTACCTCAACATGACGAGTGCGGGCATGAAATACAGGATTGGAGGCTAAAGATATTGCGCTAATGTTATCACAATGGACTTTTGGACAGTACAGGGGAAGTCGAAGATCATGAAAAAGCTTACGAAACCAGGATATCGCAGCTGCAGTGTAGGCAAGTTGGCGGTACTCCGCTTCAGTACTAGAACGAGAAACACCACCCTGTTTCTTAGAGCTCCAAGAGACAAGGTTAGAACCAAGATAAATGCAATATCCACCAGTGGAACGTCGGTCATCAGGATCACCGGCATAGTCGGCATCAGAATAGGCAGTGAGAAGAATGGAGCCAGGTTTGTATGTAAGACCGTGAGAGGGAGTACCAACTAGATATCGTAGGATACGTTTGACAGCTAACCAATGTTGAGAGGTAGGTTGATGCATAAATTGGCAGACTTGATTGACTGGAAACGCAATGTCAGGACGTGTGAGAGTGAGATATTGGAGAGTACCGACAACACTTCTGTATTCCATGGGATCCGGAAGAGGGTCGCCATCTTGAAGGCTGAGTCTTCGACCGCTGACAGCGGGGGTATGAACAGGTTTAGCTGCTGCCATTTTCGTACGTGATAGAAGATCCTGCACATATTTATGTTGAGAAAGAGATAAGCCATCCGAGGTTCGAACAATCTCCATGCCAAGAAAATAATGAGCGGGGCCTAAATCCTTCATAGAGAATCGACGACCTAAGTCGGCAATCAACTGTGTAATGTGAGACAAGTCATTTCCTGTGATCAAAATATCATTGACATAGATAAGCAAATAAATCCGTATGGATCCAAGAAGATAAATGAAAAGAGATGTGTCGGCCTGGGATGGAGTGAAACCCAAATCCTCCAAGTGAGAAGAGAAACATTGAAACCATGCCCGAGGGGCTTGTTTAAGACCATAGAGAGACCGCTGAAGTTTACAAACATGATCAGGGAATTGAGAATCCACAAAACCACTTGGCTGGCGCATATAGACGTCTTCAGATAAAAAACCATGTAGAAATGCATTTTGAACATCAAGCTGACGAACAGGCCATCGAAACTGAACAGAAAGAGCAAGGATGAGACGAATGGTGGAATGGTTGACCACGGGGCTGAAAGTTTCGCCATAGTCGAGTCCAGGTTGCTGATGGAACCCATTGGCAACAAGGCGGGCTTTGAATCGTTGGATAGAGCCATCAAAGTTCCTCTTGATACGGAAGACCCATTTATTTGGCAAAATGTTCATTGAACAAGTACGGGGAACAAGAACCCAAGTGCCAGCTCGTTGAAGAGCATTGAATTCATCTGCCATTGCTTGACGCCACTCAGGAAATTTATTTGCTTGACTGAAACAAGTAGGCTCAAAGAAAACATTAGGAGATACAGAAGCATCCGCAAAATGAGCATATTTTGAATTTGACTTAAGACCAGCAGATTTACTCCGAGTCACCATAGAATGAGCATTCATCTCTCTTACCGAAGACGTGGCGGGGACAGGTGGGTGTCTTGAAGAAGTTGGCGGAACAGGTTCAGAGGCTGGAGGGCGAGAATTTTTACGGTGATAAACGTGTAAGGGGGCAGGTGTAGGTTGTTGCGGGACAGTAGGGGATGAGTGAACAGGAGGTGCAGGTTGAGTGGTAATGGATGAGGTGGGCATCGAGGCGGGGGGAATAGGTAGGGTGGGGTAGGATGTATGATGTTGGATTGCACCGGTTGGGTGGTGGTGAGGTGCACCGCTTGGGGGGTTGGGGAAGATGTTGGCATCTGGGTAATAGGTTTAGCAAGGGGTGACGTGTGCTAGGATGTGTGTGTGGGGAGGGGCCCAATAATTTCAAGCGCGGGATCCGGGGACGAAGATGTCTTGTGGGAGGCAAGAGTAGAGGATAACTCAGAAAATGGAAAATTTAACTCATAAAAAAGAACATGGCGTGAGAAAAAAATTCGGTTGGTTGAAATATCTAAGCATCTATACCCTTGATAATTCAAAGAGTACCCTAAGAACACACATTTGGTAGAACGATAACGTAGTTTATTATTATTATAGGGACGCAAGTATGGAAAACATGCACAACCAAATGTTTTTAAAAAGGTATAATTGGGTTCTTTGCCAAACAGTTTTTGAAAAGGAGTATCATAATCTAAAATCTTGGAAGGAAGACGGTTTATTAAGTATACCGCAGTGTGCATGGCCTCGGCCCAATAAGCAGGAGGCATCGACGCTTGGGCCATCAAGGTGAGCCCAGTGTCGACAATGTGGCGATGCTTACGCTCCGCCAAACCATTTTGCTCGGGATGGTGAGGACAAGAAAGACGATGATGAATCCCATGTTGAGTAAAAAAAAATTTAAATTGAGTACTAGTATATTCACCCCCCCCATCTGATTGAAACATTTTAATTTTAGTAGAAAATTGATTCTCAACCATAGTCTTAAACGAAACAAAGATGGAGTAAACTTCAGATTTTAAGCGCATTGGAAAAATCCAAGAATAACGAGAATAATTGTCAACAAATAAAACATAATATTTATAACCACTAATGGATAAATTTGAAGCATTCCACACATCAGAATGAATGAGTTCAAGAGGATGAGATGTAACAGACAAGGATGGAGAAAAAGGAAGTTTAATACTTTTGCCCAAAGGGCATGAATGACAAAAAAAATTATTCATAGAGATTTTGCCAGAAGAAGGCAATTTATTTCTAGAAAATAAAAATTGAAAACTTGAGACGAGGGATGACCAAGACGAGAATGCCAAATATTGCTACCAACACGAACACCTAGCATTGCTACATGACCATGAAAATCTTTTGATGAGGAGTGAATTGGAAAAACACCATCCCTATTCTTGCCCCAAAAAAGGATCTTCGCCGTCACCGAATCCTGTACAAAGAAATAATCAAGAAATAAGGTAATGAAGCAACCATTATCTTTCATAAATTGATATGCAGAGACAATGGAAGTTGAAGCATTAGGGCAGTGGAGGACATCTTGCAGTTTAAAAGTGAGGTTATTTGATGATAAGGTTGAGTTACCGATGTGGCTAATGGGCAAACCTGGTCCACCAAGCACACCGCCAACAGAATCATTGCCACGATATTCTCGAGTAAGAATGAGTTTGCCCAAGTCATTGGTGATGTGAGAATTAGCACCGGAATCGAGAAGCCAAGGTTTGTCAGATTGAGGAGCTTGAGCCACCATAGCCGTGAGACGCTTAGATGGAATACGCCTTTCATACGCCAGATTCATACGGTTGAAACAATCAATTGCAGGATGCCCAAGACCACCACAAATTTGACACTTGATGCGGGACTCACCAAAGGTGGAAGAAGAGGATGCATGATGCTGATTTGGGGCTAGGCCTAAAAGACCTGGAGCTTGCTGACCACGATTAGAATTTCCAGAGGCATTAGGAGTGCCTCGATAGAAGCCACCATTACGTTCACCACGGTTAGAATTCCAAGAGGCATTAGAGTTGCCTCGATAGGAACCACCCCCACGAGTGGAGCGGCCATCGTTGCGACCAGAGAAGGACCGACCACCCCCGCGAGAGGAATCGCGATTGCGAGAAGCCGCCATAGCTTGAATAGAGTGATCAACAGCATGAGTTGGATCAGCGAGGCGAAGCTCGGTAGAGAAGAGAAGGGCTTCCAAATCAACATAAGACACTGGAGTTTCACGAGCTTGGGCAACAGCAACGGTGTTTTCGAACTTGGGTCCAACATTAAACATGATCACAGAAACAAGATCAATATCAGTGATCGGCGAACCAGCGAGCGCCAGACTATCAGCAAGAGAGTTGATGCGATCCAGGTAGTCAGTACGAAGTTGAATGATGCGACTCTGATTGTGGGAAGCATATCGGTGCTGCAAAGCAGCCCAGACATCACGAGCAGATTGGTGGCGAGCAGTTGCAGAAAGAGCCTGGAGGCCAAGAAACCCATTGATCCAAGAAAGGACTAACTGATCTTTCTGAATCCAATCCTCATAATCAGGATTGACAGTGGTGGTAAGTTGGCCAGCATCATCCTTAAGAAAAGGGGGAGGACATTCTGAAGAACCATCAATAAAGTGCATCAGACGGCGACTTTTGATAACCGGTACAATCTGAGCAAGCCAGAGAGGGTAGTTGGTGGTATCAAGTTTGATAGTGATGACATGGGAAACATTGGGGAAGGTGGAAGGTTCAGCGGAAGAGGGAGTCTTGGTAGTGGCAGCCATTAGGAGACAGTAGAGAAGAGAAAAAAAAATTGGACGATTAGTCAAGGGCTCTGTTATACCATGAAAGATTAAACAGTGCAAGGGAATAACGGGAATAACATAAAGAACACGCACATGTTTTTGTTTGAAATTTTGGATGTCTTCAATTGATCTCAGTATATTGTATTTATACAGTTTTACAGAGGGTTTACAAGCTTTGACAATTTGCATAGGAAAGATTCTACAAATCAATATTTACATAAAATCAGGGATCTTAATAAGGCAAATGAGTATGATCACGAAATCATCTATTGGACAGATGATTTCGTGGCCTGATGAGCATGATTGTCTCCATCTTGTCTATCATTTATCTGTTTCCGTATAAAACTATCGAACTTTTTTCAGTTTTAAGGAACAGTTTGAGTCTCTCATTGTTCGTGGAAATGAGAAAAATGCTTCCGATAGGGAAAAGCATATTGGTTCGACGGTTGCAAAGGTAATGACACCATAAATGTTTTTTTATGCTTTGTGTGACCTGATATCATGTAATTTCTTTTTGGTGTCCATATTACGATGTTATGGACCAAATTGTTTCTGTCGTTTGTTTATGTTGTATCTCCTGTATCTAGTTATTGAATGTAGCTGTAGTGATGCTAAACCAATAGGAATCAGTGTATGATACGGTTTTATTTTGGCCTCAGTCTCACTCTTAAAGGTTTCTAATTGTTTGATGACAGTAACCTATGTCGAACATAACATTTCTGGTGTCCTTTTCTGCTAGTTTAGCAGACAAATTATAGAATCAAACATTCTAGTGTTTGGAACATATTAGAATCGTAGATTGTTTGAATCTTATTGTTTTGCCAACAATGGTTTAAATTTAAATTTATAAATCTAATCATGTTTTCATTGAACCTAACCGATGCATTGTAGAAATAGGCAAAATTCATTGGTGACGTTGCAAGCATACAAGATTTTCTGTGTTTGTAAATGGGAAGTCTTTATACGCTGACCCTTTGAATGCAGTTTTACTCGTGATTGTTTTCTTATTCTAAATTCTTGACTATTTCAGTTGTCTGATAATATTACTTGTTATATATTGCTGCAAACTATGTTCCTATGATGTCTGATAATATTAACGATAAATATCTGTACATTTTACTACAGGAACTAAGAGAACGTATTAAACCTTTTTTTCTGCGTCGCTTAAAGAATGAGGTATTTAATGAAGACAGTGACCAAACAAGTGCCAAACTTTCTAAAAAGCATGAAATCATTGTTTGGTTGAGATTGACTGGCTGTCAGGTTTGATTTGTTATGCTTCATGATATTCTTTTAATCCTTCAAAGTAGTTTCATTTATTATTTGAATGTTTATCAAGTTGATCATTTATATGGTGTAGCGGAAACTTTATGAAGCTTTTCTAAAGAGTGAGCTGGTTCTTTCTGCTTTTGATGGCTCCCCGTTGGCTGCACTTACGGTACAAATTGTTTATAGGTCTTAGTCCTCTTTACTGCTTATCTCCAAAGCAACTTGTTCTGAGGAGAGTCAAATCCAGTTAAATGACAAATTTATTTTATGAGTGTTTTTCCGTGTAGTTGAAACTGTTAGAATGGTATCTTTCTTTAAAAATTCCCCGTTGCTTTTCTTATAGTTTAATGAAAATAGGAGAATCGGTCTGTTTTATTGGTTTTGTTGGCATTTATTAATTGATTTTTCGAATTATTTTGAGAGAATATTTAATAATGATTGTTTGAATTATCTTTAATTTCATTTTTGGAGCTTGATTTGTGTATCTGAAGTTAAAGTACTGTATCACACTAAGTAATTTAATGGTGTGCCACAGAGAAATTGTGCAAGAACTTGTTTTCAATTTTTTTAACAGTGTCACAATTTTTCTTTATCTATCTATTTTGGTAGGCGGGGTCACATTTCTAGATTTCATGCTGTTGTTTCGTATACTCTGCTTGGGGTAGTTGGATATGTTGGGATGAAAATAGATTATGGTTTTAGTATAATAAAATATAAACACAACGAATAAACTTTTGTGAAGGTAGGATTTAAATGTGAAAGTAAGCTATAATTAACTATTGGAAAAATAAGTATCTTTTCTTTGTAGAAGAAATTCAAATTTTGCTTCATGTTAGTTTTTTTATGTCAGTCCGTCCTTTCAGATTTTGGATCAGGAGTCCAGGACAAACATTGTTGTCACTCTCCATGTTTTTAACCTGTTATGGTCTTTAGCCATAATTAAAGAAGATAATACTTTAGGTTGTCAGTTCTCTTTTGATCATACTAATTGTCAAGGACTGTTTGATATGAACTAGATCCTGAAGAAAATATGTGATCATCCACTTCTATTGACAAAGCGAGCAGCTGAAGATGTACTGGAAGAGATGGATTCAATGTTGAAGCCAGATGAAACTTGCATGGCAGAAAAATTGGCAATGTACATTGCCGATGTTGCTGAGAGAGAGGACTTTGATGAAAAGCATGCCAACCTGTCATGCAAAATATCTTTTATATTGTCTTTACTGGTAACTGTGTGATGTCTTTATAGATTTGATGTTTTTAATGTTTTCATGCGTTTGCTGACATAATTTTAAATGGAATGGTGTTCAATGACCTTTTATACAGGAAAACTTAATTCCTCAGGGGCATAATGTTCTTATCTTCTCTCAAACTCGAAAGATGCTTAATCTTATTCAGGTTAGCCATTTAAAATAATTCTGGATGACTTTTTGGATGCCAACTAGTTGCTCACCAAGTTTAATCGTATAGGGCTTTAGCTTCCCCAAAGTTCTTGTTAATTTTAATAGAGAAAAAAAATTTGTTTGAAAACACTTATTCGAGCAGCTATCACTATGTTAAATTTCATCTACTTTTTTTTATTTTTTATAAGCAAATGCTTGGCACATAACTTATACTATTAAACAAGTTAAATTGTTGTACTTCATGAAGAGGGTGAAATTGTTTGAGAAAATATTCAAGGTTTGGAATCATTAGGTTTCTATGTGGTTACTTGTTAGTGATGCAGTGGCATATAAATGTTCAAGCATGGTCAAATATTCAACCTCTCTTTACTTGGATAAGATAATTTCAGTTCCAAGCTTCTCATGGAGAATTCCATGCCTGCGATTTTGACTTTATGACATCTTTTACAGGCAGGGAGTTTGATGCAGAAGCAATATGAAATTGAGGGCATACTTTCCTGAATTAAAAAGCGTTTTAATAGATGAATAGTCTAGTTCGATTATATAAAAATATCTCTCGAAGTATATTTTTTGAGACTTCAAATTAGTGAAGTTAATTATTCATGGATAACTGTTACTTCAAATTAGTGAAGTTAATTATTCATGGATAACTGTTTGTTTACAGGAATCACTAGTATCCCATGGTTACAAGTGTTGTGCGGAAGCGTCAAATATGAAACCAATAAGCTACAACGGCAAAATATGATAAGACAAAATAATCCAAATGACACAAGGATTTATACTGGTTCGGCGTAAGCCTACGTCCAGTTTCGAGACGGCGAGGAAATTCTACTAATATAAAAGGAGATTACAAATAGAGTTTTAACTCTCAAACCCAAATCCCACATACTCCCAATAGCTCTCACTCTCACAAAGAACAATTAGAGAAGACGGACACACATCAAATACCATCTCTCCCAAAAGCTACACAACATGTAGCAGCAACATCTTTGATTGAGGGATTACTAACAAAAGGGAATTACAAACAAATGGGAAGGAGCATCACTATTTCAAATGGGAGAGCCGAACGCTCTCCCTGGTATGGCTCTCATCTGATGCCGCTCCCCCTTCGTCTCCCACATTCGGCTGCAACCTTTATCCATACAAAAGCATCGAATAAAAAATTCAAAGTAAAGGAATAATCATTCCTTTACAAACATCATCATGACCTTTCTTTTTCTTTTCAACAAACATCATCATTGGTCTCCTCATAATGATGTTCCCACATCATTATGTTCTTCATTTTTTATTATATGCTTTGACCACTTGACCACTAATTTGGCCACTATCCAACAACAAGTTCGTACGCATTGATGGAACCACAAAAGCTATTGACAGAATGAGGGTTGTTAATGTAAGTGTCAAATCATCTAAATCAGCAAAAGTGGTAACGATAATATTCAAATTGTTCCTGAAATCGTGTTGGTTTTATGAATAGGATTTCCTAGAAGGTAATGGAGCTCCCATATTTCTCCTGACATCTCAAGTAGGTGGTTTGGGCCTCACGCTTACAAGAGCAGATCGTGTGATAGTGGTTGATCCTGCTTGGAACCCAAGGTGTTCTCTTACACTCTTTTTTTCCTGAATGTTTTCTACAAAGATGCATTTTTTTCTCTCTAAGTTTAGAGAGAAAAAAAATGCATCTTTTAGTTGTATCTTTATTTTAACTTAACAAGGATATTAATTGTGTAAGCTGTGGTACCTAATTTGTTGTTATGGTTCTTATGTTTGCAGTACAGATAACCAAAGCGTGGATCGTGCATATCGAATCAGACAAAATAAGGATGTCATTGTATACAGATTAATGACTTGTGGGACTGTTGAAGAAAAGATATACAAAACAGGTTAGAGATTGCTTTCCAAGCTATTTATATTCAACGGTATGAATGCAGGATTTAACAATGCTTAGATAAGCGTACTGGGTCCTGTATTAGCGCTTATGTAGATTTTGCAGGACATTAAGCATAGTTGTTTAAATGATGATAATATCTATGCGTTTGACACAACAATGTCATTGGACCTCATTTGCTATGGTGTGATAGCATGTCCTTAATCTGCCTGTTTGGATATTTTTATTGCATGTGGTTCACTTCTACTTCATTATTTGACAATGCTTAGATAAGTGTTACTGGGTCCTGTAGTAGGGTTTCTGTAGGTTTTTCAGGACATTAAGCATAGTTATTTATATGATTAAGTACCTATGTGTTTGACACAACGATGTCATCGGACCTCATTTGCTGTGGTGTGATAGCATTTCCTTTATCTGCCTGTTTGGATATTTATTGCACGTGGTTCACTTCTACTTCATTATTTGATTAATGTTGTATAACATCTTCATATTAATTTCTCTAACATTTTGTTTAGATATACAAGGGCGGATTGTTTAAAACTGCAACCGAGCATAAAGAACAGAAGAACAGATTCGGTACTTTAGTTAGCAGGTGAATTCTAAAGTTGTTGTAATTGTTGCTATAGTGAGAAATTTCAGACTCTCAACCTTAGTAGAATGCGACATTCTATACTGAAATTCTTTCATTGTTTTAGGACCTTCGTGAACTTTTCAGTCTCCCAAAAGAAGGTTTTGATGTATCCCTTACGCAGCAGCAGCTATATGAGGAGCACGATCGCCAGCACACAGTGTACGGAATATTACTTGTATGCAGTAGTGTTGATAATAACAGTTGTAATTGTGTTTCTGTGACTGTGACTTGATGGATCGTAACAACAGATTGGTTTTTCTTTTTTATATGTCTGTTTCTTAGAATTTTGAAATCTTCACTGGTTTACTTTACTACTCTGGGCACACGATCAGAGGATCTTCAACCGCGGGAAGTTCATTTTCAAGTTCTTTACAAGAACGCAATGTGAATGGGTAGAGCTCTACGAATCATGGCTTTTATGTAATTTGAGAACAAAAGGTAAGTTATTTTTCATGTGATGAAATTTCTGGTTTGCATCATGGACAGGGCTGAATATGCTTTCAAGCCAAAGGATGTAAACATAAACAAGAAGCCTTCTTCACCGATTAAACAGAGAATCAACAGGCTGTCACAAACTCTTGCAAATAAGGTACTGTTACACATTGTCTTCTTTGGTTAGCAACTTATGCCCGGTTTCCGGTGAAGATGTTCAGAATCTATTCAGTTTAGTCTAAAAAATCAGATAGAAGGGGATGTAAAATCAGTTAAAGAGTAATTCTGAACTTAGCTTTCTTTTTTCGGTAGTGCATGATAGTCGCAATTCTTATTAATTGATTTGCCGTTGTGATTAACAACGCATTCAGGCAATGGTTTCAAGATTACCAGATAAGGGGGAGAAAATACAAAAGCAAATTGGTGAACTGAATTCTGAGCTTTATAGACTTGGAAAAGTGGAAGCGCAAGGAAATGAGAGAAATGTAATCGACTTGGAACTGAATGATGATATAACTGGGGAGTTCCAAAGAGTGGTGACATAAGACAAGAAGAGTGGTGGTGTAAGATACGATGTCGTTCGAATTTTTATCGGATGTTTCCCAAGGGACGCTGATCTAAAGATAATTTGACAGATCTGAGCGTTGTAACTGGGGAAACTTTTATCATTGTAATTACTTGCTGTTATTATTTTTCCATTAATACTTGGATGCTGACCGGTCCTTATTTGTATTGGATTGCAACAAGTATCGCATGCTTATGCAAAAACATATAGATTAACAAACAATTTTATATTTCGGTACCAAGTTTGGCATTTTATTTTTTAACAAATGTAACAGGAGCAATTTTCCTCTTTAATTAATATAAGATAAATTATAGATCGATCATAAGCCCCCAAACCATTCCTTTCCTTGACATAGTTGATAATTAAAGTCATTACATTACATGCACTGTTCCAAATTTCCAGTTATCACTTGTAGGTAAATACAAAACACCGGCACCTGATTTCACTTTCCGACACCCAAAACAAAATTTCAGCCGGTCGAATCAAGCTACAACATAATCTAGTCATACAAACCAAAGCCAAAGCTTTAAGCTATCAAGCCTCGTTAACAGCCTTGTCAATTTCTTCAACGTGATTCCGTAGCACATTCCACTGCACATGAAAACCTCTACTATGTGAGAATTCTCGAAGCAGCCAGTTATTGAAATGTAAAAATAAAGAAACAATCAAGATAGGCGCCAACCTGATCCATCGTCAGTGAGATTCCTGAAAACAAGTGCGACCAAGTCAGAAACTACGCACCGCTTATCCATCAGAAGGCATGCTTAACGCTAAAAAGAAAATACATATTGCTTTATCATTAAATTAATAGTTATTGCTCTGATTTTTAATTAAGTCGTGCCTTAGCAGATTATAAGTTCTCTATTTGTCCCCAACGGACACAAACCTGAGGGCAACTTAAGATATTGCCAGTTAGAATTTTCAGGGCTCTAGTAAACCCTCGATTCTGAAAACCATTTCCGTCGGCCTTCCATTCCTTCTGGAGCATTGTCCCTAGCCCACCTCATTCCAAAACTAGGGCATAAAGGACAATCTTGACACCTTCCTCCCTGCCTTGCCCTTCTAGATAACTTTTGTTTCCTTCTCCAAAATATGGCTCTCTTAAATCAACTCACAATTACGCTTACAAGAAGAATCTTTGAATTTGTCAACCAGCATCTGTCTTCAGGTGCATCACGGACAACCCCACTATCTGCCACCTCCCATATTTCAATTTGTTAAAGGATTTCTCTCTTCCGTATAATAAATGGCAGTCCCCAATCCCTTCAAACAAGATGTTGTGACAGGTAACATTAGATAGAGGATTCCAATTTCGTAGATTTGCTCCCAATGAACGTTCTAGAACACACTTCATGTGTTCCCAACCTCCTCACCTCCTCTACTTTGTCCTGACTCTTAAAAAGCAACACTGCTTTAATGGACTGGTCTCACTACTATATGGAAAACCCCATGAGCACTAGTGTGGTGGTCGTTGTTTTTTTTTTTTTTTTTTGCCGCGGGGGTGGGGGGTTTGTGGGGGGATGGGTGTCTCTGACCCCAACAAGATGTCTTTGTTACCACTAAATTTACGTATCTGACCCCAACGAATTCATATACAGATAATACCACTTGTGTATTTGATACTATTTTGCAAATAATTAAGGATAAACATTAAAAACACTAAGACCAATATAAATGTGTATTAAATAGAGCATTTGATATGTAAACAACAATAAAATGAACATACATGTTTAGTTCTTATGTCGCTTAAAGAGAAGACAATGGAGCACCGAGAACTTCGTTTTTGATCAATGAGGTCAGGAGAAAACTAGAATTTTCCATGAAAAAGCTAGAATTTTCCTAAGATATATAACACACAGGAGAAAACTAAATTTCTTCGGTTCCTGATTCGAATTTCTCTTGCCTAAGGTCGATTAGATTTACGATTAAAAATGAGCCCACCTTCGTTTTCCCACTTGAAATGTGACAGACTCCCAAAACCATAAGAACAAATCATAAATTCTCCAACTATGATCGAAATGCAAAAACCCAATATAGCAAATTAGACAGTAAAAATAAATGAAAGTAAAGGTTACCTTTTTTTCCAGGCATTTGCTTGCCATCCTTGACATAGAACTCGCGAATGTCGACCCCAACCTTGCCATTCCAGTTCCTCACGCTTACCCTTCTATTCTTGGATATCTACAAATCCCCAAAACCCTAAAATTAGACAGCAGTACCAGTCACACTGATAAACCCTAACCCTAATCAAAGATAAAACGGCAAATTGCGCCAATGCATAGAAAAGAGGAAGAACAAGAGAGAGAGGGTGAGGGTGGTGACCTCGCAGACGGTGATGTCGTCAGAGGAGTCGTCGGAAGAGTCTCTCTTGGAGGCCTTCTTGGGTGGCGGGTGGCCCTCAGAGTCCCCGTCGGAAGCGTGATCGTCCTCATCTTTTCTCTTCCCTCTCCCCGACATTCCCTTCCTTGCTGTTTTTAGCTTCTTTCGCCTTCGCCGCTTTCACTTTTTCTTCTACTCTTCTTTATCAATTAAACGAGAGTAAGAATAGAAAGAATAAAATGGGCCGGGCCCTCATCCTTACCCAACACACTCCAAAGCCCAAAGCCCAGTCTTCTCCTCCACCTCTACACCTTAAGTTTTTAAACTCCCTGGGAATCCCTTGTGGATTTTGGAGCTTAGTCCTACATTGCTTATTTTTTTGGAAGTACTAACCAAATATTCTTCGTATTGTTCACTTTTAACGTTAAAAATATATTTTGCCCACAAAGTCACTCCTGGTACTATTCACTTACACTTTTATTTTGTCCTTTTGATTAAAACTAAAATGTTTCAAGATTTTTCAAAAGTTTTCCTTTATTTTTTTTTATTTTGTCCTTTGGATTCAAACTAAATTTTTTTAGGATTGTTCATTAGTTTTTTTTTTATTTTTTTGGTCTTGTGTTCATTGTCAATAAAAGGATAGGCCTTTGCTCTTTTATGAACTACTAGTGATACGATATGTGACTAACTAAGAAATCAAGCTAAAAGGATTAAGAGAAACACCCTCAATTTTTCATTTTTTGCTGATGCTACATTAGAGGACTGTATAGGGAATTGTGATTACTGAGTGTTACGAATAAAGCCATTCTATGAGTGTAAATGTGTAAATTTAGGATAGAATTCAATAAGATTTAGGAGACCTAATCCTATTATCACTTGGGAGTTAAGTAAATCCCTACCTATAATCAGTATAAATTATGCGAGTATCGCAGTTAAGAATGGAAAAAAAAAAAACAAGACAAATTCGAAAATCAAAACCAAATAATCAAAATAAATAACTCCAAAAAACAACGTGTATGAACGTACTTCATACAAAGCCCTAATCACCCGCAAACGTCGAGATTACATCTGCCGTGCCAGGCCTCGTTTGGCAGCTCGGACTGTACTGACTATTTCTGTCGGATAGGATAAATAGCCATCGGATAGTATTGACTAAATTAGTCGGGCGTTTGGTGCAGTATCGGACTAATGACCGTATTATTTATATTATGTTTGGTATTATACCGGATAAAAGGAATCAAACTTAAAATAAAATTAAAAAAAAACTGAAATCATCTCTCTTGTTCCAGATCTCTCCGCCGCCCCCCCCCCCCAAAACTCCCTCCCTTTCTATCCCTTCTTCTTCCTCGTCTGCTCCCCTGAACTCAACCCCACCACAAAGGCAGCAACAAGAAACCCAGCAAAACCCACCTTTCAAATTCTCATCGTTTTTTTCCCAATCCTTCTCTTTTTTTTAGCTACAAATCAACCCAGCAAAAAAAACACACCACAAACCAAGAAAATTCACACAAAGGACTTTGTTTTCTATTAGTCCTAAAAAAACAATTGGAAGGAAATTCACGGAGGACACCTTTTTTTTCAACAAACCAAGAACACTCATCGGAGAGAGAAAAATGGGGCTGACTGTGATTTTGGGCATTAGGTTGGGGAAAAGCATTGACAAAATTCAATTTGGAGGAGGGGAAGAGCTGAGTGACGCCTCCAGTTGGCTAATTCCTCAGCTTCCATCCGCCCCTTTTTGTATATCCCTGTGGAATATGTTGTTTCGCTACTGGTCTCCTTTTGTCTCTCTCTCACTCTCTTCTTTGTTCCTCTGTGTGCTTTCTGTCGGACGAGACGGGAAATTAGTCGGCGAATGACTGCAAAGGAGTGGCGCCCGGGGTGGAGAACTCGTCGAGGAAATGCTCGAAGGCCCACTTTGAGAAGTCGTTAACGGCGGCTTCGTGAAGTTGGAGAGGACAGCGCCCCGACTAATTATCCCGAGCTTTTGGACTGTTTTAATAGTACGGTGTCAACCGTATAAAATTTGATGGGCCGGATAATTAAGCGGGTGCTTATTTAGTACGAGAGTGCACCAAACAACTGCTCTCGTATTATTTATCCTATCCGATGCTTTATACGGTGTGCCAAACAAGGCCTTAGAGTTCTTATTTTGCGGGGTCAACACTCCGATTTGTTCAAACCAGGCCCAATTAGGGCTGGTTTTCGCCTGTCTGCTTGCTTGCTCGTGGCCTGCAGCCCATCCAGCACCTTAATTGGGCCTTAAGCGTAGCACAGCAGCTCAATTATAATTAGAAAAGTGTACACTTTGAGCCCAACTTAAAACAAATAAAAATAGAAGAGTAATAGTAAAGAAATCAAATTTTTTAAATCAAATAATGTGTCACCAATAAAACAAGCACGTTGATTGACACTTAATTAATAATCCAATCATCTACAACAACATCATTTAGTTTACAAATTTGATTTAAAAAGTTTGATCTCGATAGCCTAATATTAGCCCACCTGGCAGGCTGGCAGGCTTTTATGTGAATTCGCAGCTTGTTCTGTTGGGCGTCATTTGGCTTGTAATTGGCCAAAAAAAAAAAGGAATTTTTTACTTTATATGGTCGGTCACGAGTCGAACATCACAGCTGCCTTTCCTACGAAAACCCTCTCTCTCTCTCTCTCTCTCTCTCTCCTGTTTCTCTCTCTGTAGGAGACGAGTACTCGGAGAACTCTGGAGCGAGGAAGAAGATTTGCTGTGGGGAAATTAGGAGGGAGCAAATCAAACCCAATCAAATCATCGTGGAAGATAATTGAGAGTGAATTGTAATTAATTCTCACCGAACACGAAATGTTTTAAGAAGTTATCGGATTAGAAGAAGATTGAGAGATGGGGAATTTGTTCGTGAAGAAGCCCAAGATCACGGAGGTGATCGAGCTATTCTTTCTCTCAAGACCCAGAGACGCAAGCTTGCTCAGTACCAACAACAGGTCTTAATCTTAATTCTTAATTGTTAATCTCTTAATTCTTAATTATCTACATGTGGATAATCCTGTCAAATAGAAATAAATTCTACCTTCTCATCTCAAATGGGCTAACAGAAAACGAAGAATTTAATTCAATTTTTGTCGACTGAAGAATTCCCATTTTTTTTATAAATGGGGTTTTGAATTTGCATATACTTCTGGAATTTTTAATATTTGCCCGTCGATCGAGTTCACTTGGATCCCACTTTGCCCAGCTCGAAGCTGTAATCGAAGCCGAAAAGCAAGCCGCAAGGGATTTGATTCGTGACAAGAAAAAGGAAAGAGCTTTGTTAGCGTTAAAGAAGAAGAAGGCACAGGAAGAATTGTTGAAGCAAGTTGATACCTGGGTTATTAATGTTGAGCAACAAGTATGTAATTGCACAACCCTACCCTACATGTCCATTTTCTTTCTTTCGATTTCCTTTAGGACCTGGTCTACCTTAAGAGAAAGCAAACAACATGTTGACACTAAATACTTTGGTTCAGTTGCAAGATATCGAACTGACAAGCAAGCAGAAAGCGGTATTCGAGAGTTTGAAGGCTGGTAATAATGCGATTAAAGCCTTACAAAGTGAGATCAATCTCGAGGACGTGCAAAAGCTAATGGATGATACTGATGAAGCTAAAGCATACCAAGATGTGAGCTTCACTTCTCGTCTTTATTTTTTTGGTTTTATTTATTTGGTATTGCACCAAAGTTTCCTTGGGTTGCATTCTTATAATGAGGACCTCTATCAAACACATTTTGGCAATTTGGGAGGATTTTTATTTGTCCACCAAGTTTTGAAATTTATGATGCTCCTTATGCGCAAGGCCCTCCCTCTTCCCCTTTCCCACCCTCATTTGTTAGTGTTTGAGAGCTTTCCTTCATTTTTTTTATTTTGGTAATGGAGCGGAAGTGCTTGGAATTCTGTTGTTGTTTTTATCATAAATCAAGAGCGATAAAATGTTTACCTCTAACTTGAGTTTGTAAAGATCTTCGTTTTTGTAAGTTTTTACATGTTCTTTTCCTATTGACAAGTTTACTTTTCACCCCCACCCATCATCTTGTTTGATACTAGATACCCTATATAACTATATCTGCTGTGATCTCATAAAAAATTATGCCTCTGTTTTTTCACATCGCTTGCGTGTATTCTGTCCCATATATTTTTCAGGTCATTGTAAACAATTGTGTTAACATCTAAACTTGTCTTTTTCTTTGCTTATCATCTTCTCCTTAGTTTTTTCTTTTTAATAAATTCTGCCGTTTCTCTCATGATTTTCTTTTTGTTAGGAAATTAATGGAATCTTGGGGGAGAAATTATCAGCAGAAGACGAAGAGGATATTTTAGCAGAATTAGAGAACTTGGAAGCTCAGGTAATGTCATTTCTATTCTAATAATGGGTCCACAAAACCCTAACGATTATTTTGCTTCCTGTTTGTCATGTTTTCCCTTCCAAGTCTTTTTTATGTAGCCAATCTGTTCCTGTTTAAATACTTTATGTAGTAATTAACATACGATTCATTACTGCTTTCTGAGATTATTAGAAAACCTCATGTTGTATCAGGATTGTTGTGTAAAAATCATTTTTTTCATACTTATTCAAATGGTGAAAGTAAGTCCTTTTCTCTTAGGTGCTCTTCATTTATCCAATTACCAATATTGCAACTACCCATCTAGTTTTCATGCAATGCCATATATTTGAGGTCTTTCACCGGATCTTCATTTATGTTGAAATTGGATCAAGCAGATTTTGAATTACCAATTAAATCTTTAATGAACTAAGTGCATATCAAATCATAGCATGAACGTTCTGTTGATTGTTTCTTGTCTTGTTAGTTTTATTAGTCCGGTATCACATGATTTCATCTCATCTAAAAGTGAAACTCCGCTCCTTTGTCAGATCACCGTTCAAGATCTGCCTACAGCTCCTGCTTCAGTGCTTTCTCAAGAAAACGAGAAGTTGGACCTTCCTGATGTACCAACCAAAGTACCAGTTGCACCTGATGTGGTCACAACTGATGAAGTTTCCACCAAGACAAAAGGTCGCACTCTCTCTCTCTCTCTCTCTCTCTCACACACACACACACACACAGAGAACAAGCACCCCCACGCACAATGCTAACTGCTAGTTGCTCGTTAACTCAATTGCAAATGCCTGACAATATTTTGGGGATATGCAGTTATG